TGAACTGATGAACTGGCTGATAACAAGTAAACAGGTAAAAGGTCAGTTGGGTTAGACAACATTTATGATTACTCTTCTAATGAGATGTTACATTTCTGCTGTTTTTTTCTTACGCCCTTTATCTCTTGTCATCTGTAAACTCTTCAGGTCACAATAATAATATTTTCAGAGAAAAATGTCTATTAATATGAACCTATAGCTAATTAAAGATGTGTATTTCAATTCTCTGAAATGTGCAGTTCTCTGAGTGCTAATTGAGAGGAAAATAGTGTTATACTTTCTGAATGGTTCCTTATGTAGAAGCTGGAATTGATTTCACAGTTCAACTTCAAAAAACCAAACTATTTTTTTCTCTAGTAAACAATAAGGTTGGATTCTGACATTTTCTACCAAATTCCCTTTTACTAGTACTGAATATGAGAATGTGGATTTGGAAAAAAGGTATGAAGCCTCTGCAGACAGAAGCTGTCAAAAATCACTGAGTAATAATGGGGAAATAAATAAATGGTGGTTGCTCAAATGTCAACTTGTGTGAGCGTCTCAGCCAAAGGTGTAACTGTGCCTCTGTTTTTTTAACTGTATGTGTTGCTCCAACTGTCAGTTGCCTTCAAAAATGTCTTAGAAATAGGGTTTCAAACCTTTTCCCAGCATACAGTAGCTTGTGGGCAAAATTGAATGATTTATTACAAGCATTTTCCAGAAAATTCATGCTGAGACACTTCTACAGCAGTGTCTTATGATTTCCAAGAGTGCTCATTATCAGGTGAAGTCATTAAAAACCTGCCATTTCCTTCTGATAAATCAAGTTATAGAAGCAGTTTTTAAAACCTGATTTTTCAAAGCATAAATCAAATCTGAGTCAAATACTTAAACATCAAGGTTTGAATGGAGTTTTATAAGTGCCTGTGAAGTGCTAAAAAAACAAAGCGATCGTGTCAAGTATTCTTGCAGTGGGAGAATGCCCAGCTGTGTTACACATGGCCCCAGCTCCCCAAAGCCAGGTGACAGAAGCCGGTGGCACTGCCTGGGGTCTGAAGGAAGAGCTACACGTATTTTAAGAGCTCGGAGAGATTGGCTCCTGGTCTCATGTTTCAATCCATCTACAAGAAAATATTTACTTATTCACTGGTGTTCAGTTTAAATGCACACACCAGAGAAGATGCACTGATCTTTTTCAGACCGCTTACGTTCAGTGCCCAGATGGTTCATGTACAGCTTTGAACACTCCTGTAGCTGTGGAAGAGGTGAAAGAAACAGATTGATCTGTTGGTTCAGGAAGGGACACAGGAATGCAGCATATCATAGTCTAGGGCATTGCTCAATCCACTAGCAGAAACTTAGATGCAGTACATTAAATTACAGCCTATTTATGGATTTGAAGGTGTCCATGTGATTAAAGAGTAACTCCAACACAGAGAACTTTGAGATCTGATCCCCGCAGCGAGGGAAAAAACAACACACAGTTCCCACATTGGTTTACTCAACTCCAATGAACTCTGCTTAACCTAGCATTTTCTCAGCAGAAGCTGTGTGTGAGGAGAAAAAACCCACATTTTCCTAGCACAAGGCAGTTTGTAAAATCTAGTGGATAGCTGTTTTGAATGGAATTAAACTGAGAAAAGAAAAGATTGTGAATGACGTGACTGGCTGTTGTAGGTTGTAAAGCCAGAGGGGAATGATACAAGCTAAGGACCTTCTCCCCAGCACACTCTGCCAGCTGTTGAGTCTGTGGGAGATGCAGGAGCAGAGAGCAGCAGGAGTGAGAGGAGTTCAGCACATACCTGAGCCGGCTGTGTAATCCAGGCTTTGATGGCTGGCAGGACAGACTGTAGATGTGAAGTCACCTGGGGCTCATGCATTCAGCAGTCTCTGTTGACAGCTTCCTTCTCATCCCACCAGTGGTGTTTAGTTGAGCTTTGAATTATTAAGTGCTGGTGGGCTTGATTCTGTGTGCTGTTGTAGCGCTGTTAAACCAGGAATTAGAACCAGTTCCACTACAATGAAGCCAGAACAGTGACACTGGGGGGTTCAGCACTTCCTGTACTGTCTCTGATCACAACAGATCAGATTTATTGGCTGTTGTTTAAGTCTTACCCATCGGAAAAGCCAGAGAGCCGTGCCCGTGATTGTTTGTTGGTTTTTGGGTTCATCTGGCACTGTGTTTTACTGCTGCAGTTTGCATTCCTCTCTTCACTGGCTCAGAGTACCCACTGTCTGACACTCTTCCATTCTTATACTCCTAATTTCCCATACATAAAAGGAGAGAGTAAGAAATGGAAGAAAATGCGCTAAATATTCAGCTTTCATGTGAGCCACTTTTAAATGGCTATTTAGTATTCAGTAACTGCTGTTTCAGCCCCCTCTGAGAAAGTTTTGGGAAGTGAATTGGACAGCAATGCTCTGGCAGTTCTTATGCCACCAACTATTTCAAAATTACATCTTGATGAAACATGTTGGCAACTGCGTGCATTTGACCTGTGTTTTTCCTTCAGCCAAAAAAATAAAAAAAGCTGGTGGCAGCCTGAACCATTGTTCTTTGTATTTAAAACAAATCTTTCAACTGGGAGCCAAAAAATTGCTTTTCAGTACAGCTTTGAAAAATCATCAAAGTCCAGCAGCTTACAAAAATTTTCCATTGCCTTGCCATTCAAAAAGTAGAAAAGACATTTTCTGTATTTTTGGGCAATATGCAGCTCCCGAAGATTGCACCTTGTCCTGTCAAATGAGCCCAATGATTAATATTTTTTTTTCCAGTTTTATTGGTGTTTTGAGGAATTTATAGCCTTGGACCCTTCTGATTATTCCTTTTTTAACAATATACATCCATGTCCAACCCCTGCCCAGAAATGAGTAATATCTCAGTCTTTATTAGTTCTGATCTCCATTCTTTGAAAAGTTTTTCTGGCATGATAACATCAGGAAGATGTATCTTCCTTCAGAAGCCTCTCATCTGTTCAGCTGAGCTTCTGCCTTTTAATGCAACTGAAGTATTCAAACCAGTGGCGTGGCTCCAGCTATACTATGGTAGCAACGGGCTCATTTAAATAGGGGATTGTCAGATGAGCAACTTTTGCTGTTTGATTGAGAAAGAGAAGGACAACCTTTCTGGTCAGAAGGTATTTAAAAAATGGCACCCTTGACCCATCACATCTCAGCACATTTGTGGCACAATGCTCTCTGAGCAGGCAATAACAGTAACAAGTAGGCTGTTCAGATACAGGTACTTCACAGTTTTCAGTGCTCCTCACAGGCAGTTTATTATGTGGCATTGCACAAAAGCCAGGCTGAAACTAACTCTGGTATTTTATTAGCCAAAATTAGTAGCTTGCCCAGATCTTAAAAAGCTTTAGGAAAAAAAACCAAAAAAACCAAAAAAACAAACATCCTACCCATTTTTTTATGATTTTGTTCACTCATTCTGCATCATCTCACAGATCTATACCTTGAGTGGTGTCCTCATGTCTGAACAGGAGGCAGACACATACATTTCTTTAAAGATCTGGAGCAGACTGTCATCTTGTATGTTTGAATCTGAGAGGCAAAAGACTGGCTAACTGGCTATTTATTTTGCTCTTCTGAAAGGCAGTATTTTGCTGTCTTCTTGCTTATACAGATCTTTCCCAGCTTAAAATTCAGCTTTATTTTCAGAGGTTTCTGAATTTCTTCATTAATTCTTTTAAGACTGCATCTCCCCCTAAGCTGATGGTATGTATATATTTAGTTTATTCAGATGTCCTTCCATCATCTTTTTATTCAGTCCTTGCTCCTCCAGCTGAGTCTAGTAATTTTCCTGAATTTTCCTGTAAAAGGTTCTTTGATGTCCTCATCTTCATTGCTCATTTTACTGCAAGCTGAGCCAAACTGGTGTTTAAAATCTTGGTATTTTGTGTAAGTATGATGTAGTGTATTTTGTCTTAGTGGAAATATAGCATCGAAAAACAATTTACATTTTAGCCATGGTCCTGAATATTAATGAGACTTCTTTTACTCACAAACTGGAGCAGTTTGACAGCCTGGTATTATTTTTATCCAGATTTTCCCAGGAAGTTGGCAACAGTATATGGTGGAAAGCAGTTCTTCAGTATCTCATTCACTGAAATTGGTGGTTCATCAACAGTGTCTGTAATTTCTGTTTCGCTTGCACAGCAATAGAATTCAGTGTGAATTGCAAATAAAAGGAATCTCAATATTATGCAGATTTTCGGCACATGTAGTTGAATTAACTCTGCTTGGTTATATAATGTTGTCCTATGGTGTAGGAAAATGTAAAGAATTTAGAGCCTTACCTAAGACTGATCACACGTTGTCTGAAGTAAGTTTTTCCTCACTGTTCCAATACAATTAAACAACGAGCCAACATAGTAACAAAACTTCAATCCAAAACAGGAACTTTTAAACACAGATTTTAAAAATTGTAGAGTGCCTGAGATCAGGTTCTGCCCCTGGTGAAGTCTATAGGTCTGGTGAAAGGGGAAATATGGGTGGCTTCAAAACATGTGCTTGGTCTTTTAATGTTCTTCTCACGGAGCAGCATTTCCAGAGGCCCAGGGCAGCCAAGAATCACCAGAGCATAGATAAGCTTTTCATGCCAGGAGCTGACACATGGTTAAAGGCCTTTATTATTTTTCTGTACAATCTAGAGAATTTCTCTTAGATGATTCCAATTTCAAGGGAATAATTCAATTTATTAGTCCTCTGTACATTACAGAATATTAAGTATCTTAATTTACAGTGCTGCAACAGGGTCTCTGCTGCACACAGTTTAACTGTGCAAAACCCACCTGTATATTTTAGAATATGTTCAGAGTTTATTTTGTCAGATAGTCAAGTTACAATATACTTAAATCTGTAGGAGAATGATGATTTTCTTGAAAACTTGGTGTTACAAATACATGCTATTGGCAATGCGCCTAAATACATTAAGCAGCTAGTTACAGATTTTAGTTCTGAGAAACTCATGGGTAATCACTTGGTTTGCTTTTCTTAATTGTGTGACTGACTTAAGTATGTCTGCTTTGCTGCATCCTGGCATATTTTTTAATAGTATTTTCAGAATATCTTTGCAGCTCTTCAAGGTGTGAATTTAAATGTTCTTCAAATTCTCTTGCGTGTTTCTCTTCCTCTTGAAGGAACTTTTCTGTTGTTGCAAAGAAGGACATCTCAGGGGGAGACTGAGCAATGAATAGAAAATCATGGTTAGGAAAAACCAGCAAGTACTACAATGTGTTTGCATTATCAAATTCTAGATGTGAAAAACATCTTGACCTACAGCAGCTAATGACACTATAATGCTTTACACTGCTTCAAGAAAGCACCATTTTTAAAGGCATCCATTTTTAAAGGCATCCATTTTTAAAGGCATCCATGTGCCTAAATGACATGAACTGAACATCGTGTTTGATTATCTCTGATATCCATAGCATTAGGATGTAGCTTGGCCATTAAAAATTTAAATATCCCACTAGACAGAATTAAGCTGCTGCAGAACCTCCAAAATCTATCAACTACAGGTTATGTTAGTTATTTGTGTAATGTAGACGAAGGCAGAGGACAATAATCTTTTTTTGGAATGACAGAGTATAATTATGTTGGATACTGCTGATTGTCTCCTGTAATTTTAGCTCTCTGCTTCTGTGGTATGGTGCTTTCTGAGGAAAGGAAGAAAACTTGTGCTCATTTCAGTACCATTAACTCCAAGTCCTGACATTCTGGAGAATGTACTAAATTTTTGTTCACTGCAAGTAATTCACTGAAAAAAATCTTCTTTCCATTTAATGAGCATTTAGTAGACTCAGACACAAACCATACCAATAATCAGCCTTTAGATGGTTGTCATGGGATGCAGAGTTGTATAAAGCAAAGGATTTGTGTGAATCTTTGCTGGAACAAGTTCTAAATTTTTAAGCACCAATTTCTGTTAATTTTCTTGCTAATACCTAAGATGCATTCATTGGAATATCTTTATCAACAGAAATATGAAATAATTTTTCTTTTACTGATGATACTATGCCTGTTTAAATACATTCAATGCTTTTTTTGTAGAGATAAATGCAATTTTATGACATGAATTTTTAAGATTTGACTGAGGAAAAAACTTAGTATAGGGGCTTTAATATAAAAAGAGAGGTAATCTTCTATTTTTATATTATCATATATTGGGAAAAATTATTGACATCTTTAATCTTAGTTAAACCACATCTTTAATAGTTTTCGTTACTAATTAAGTTATTAGTCTAGAATTTCCAGGGTTTTTTCTAAAATTTAAAAATGCTTGAAGTTTATGTGTTAGCACATCAAATAGGAATTCAAATATTCAGATGGTCTGCGGAGAAGGCCAATTGTATTATATCCATAAATTTTTGCTCCAGGCTCCACTGTATCAGAGTGGGGTATTCCCTATTTCCACAGCAACTAGAGACAGATTTGGACCTTGTTTTCAACTTCATTGAAAACTGCTCTTTAGCAGCTTTTAAGGCTAAAAGATACTGATTAGAAAAATGCTCTAAAGCACCAATCCATTCAAACTCTTTGCAGCAGACTCTGAGATGAAATTTAGAGACTTCCTATAGGAAACCCCTTTTCTTTTCAAAGTAGAGAAGTGAGTGATAGCTGGAAATAAATTCTGAGTTTAATACCATCCTTCTTGAGTGACAGAGGCTTCCTGATGTATAGGGCTCCTAAAATGAAATTCACAGAAAAAGCATAATCTTCCTTTTCTCAATCCCTCCACCAAATGAATGTTTTAAATTATGGGCAAGATAAAGTGACTTAATTTGACATGTATGAATTAGAAACCTAAAAGCATTGGATCACTTCTTACCTTAACACCCCTGTCTCAATAGCAAGAATAAAAAAGAACACCAATCCTCTAAAGTTTAAGAAAATGGAGGGACATCACCTGTCTTTGATTTTCTTCCTAAACACGTGCATGATTTCCCATTCATAAACGATCAGTGTTCCCATATGAGGAGTTTTTCCTGACATTCTGAATGCCATGGCTACATGCCATTTATTCCTTCATGGGCTAGGTCACAAATACATCTCCTTGTGATGTCAAGATTCAGTGACAGAATTGTTAGTACTATTTTAAATTATTTGAAGAAGGCTTTTGTATTATGAAGAATACATTGAATTTGGAGGCTTTACTTAAAGAATCACTACGTGTTTCCCTTTCATACCAGAAACGAAATCATTAATTCAATGCTGAGCAAATAAAACACTTTCAGTGAGAAGCATGAGAAACTGGGAAAATCTGAATCTGAAATACAAATTTAATAGATGTCATCACCTAGAGAAAACTGTCATGTTAGACTCTTCCTTATGGACTGCAGATTTACACAGGTGCCAGTCTCAGAAACTTTACATCAAAATAGAAAGGATTCTCAGAGATTCAAGATAACAACGTTTAGTATTACTGACTTCTCATTGGAAACAGACTGGCCTCACAATAAAGCTGTCTTCCCAAACTGTTGAGTGTCTTTTGCTTCAACTGGCACTTTGATGTGTTTCTTCTTGAAATACACTGTAAACTCTGAATGAGACATTTCTGAATTTCCTCAGAGTTGAGAGAAGAATGTTTATCACTTAGAATAAGCAGGTCATGGCTCCCCACAGCTCCTTACCCGAGGGTTAACATCAAAGACTATGATTTTAGATAGGTCCCTAATGCATTGTTTTTCATGCACTTTGAGAGGAGGTTTTATCTAAGCAAGTCTAAAAGACAACATTCCTTGTTAGCAGCATTTTGTGTTCCAAGCCTCTGGTATGTTCTTTCATTATGTTCTTTATTGTCTTTACTTTTGGCCTCTGAGGAAGAAAAACCACAAAGAAAGTGATTTAATGTCTCAGATAAGATTCATGGTCCTTGGTTTTGAATTTCTTTTTCTCAGATATTTCTGCTTTTATGTCTTTTGGTTTTCTAACTGTAACTGGATAGGGATGGGTTCATCATAAGCTTTCCATCTAACTTGTTTGGGTAATAAGGCAAGAAGGACTCTATTTTTTCATTTCTACAGTGCCAGCTGATCTCATATTTCTTTGGTGTACACCAGTAATGAGAAACACCTTTCTGCCTCATCATTTGCTGGAAATGAAGGAATGCACCTGACAGAGATGCATATTTCTATAGATGAAATATGTGCTAAGTATGTCTTCTCCTTAAATAAAAACTACCCAAAGTGGTTAAGAATACATTCTAGATTGCTGGGGAGGAGCCCTTCAGGAAGCTAGCTCTCTCAAAGAGATGCTTCTACTTTCCAGGAAATATTATGTAATACCAAGAGTAGAAATTGGTCTGGCTGATTTTAGTCTCATAGTGACTAAATTTGGGATGTCTGGGGAGCAGTTTCTTCTAACCCTACACTGCAATACTTCTTAGGCAGGAGGTGCTGTCTTAAACGTGCTTCTGCTCACATATGAAAATTAAGTTTGAGACACCTAGAAAATTGCTGAGTGACATAGGAAGATTTTTAGAGGGTCTACGTAGCTAGGAAATAGTAATACCTAGGAGTGAGAGGCATGGACTATAGCATGCCTCGGGGTAGGATCAAAACTGTCAAAATAATGCCTATGATGTCCAGTGGTAGAATTTCCACAACTTTCCATTGCAATCCATTTATTAAGCAAGTTCCTATACTAATGTTAGAAAATTTCCTAATGCCTAATTTAAATTTTAATTATTACAGCTTTAGTCTTGTATTTCCAAACCTTAAAGCCAGAACAACTGTCTGTCATCTGAAGAGAAACTTGAGAAACTATTTATGACTAAAAGATCAACCAATCATTTTCTGAAGTTTTTCATTTCAGAAAGAGAGCACAGCTTAAAGTACTGTTTCAAGGAAAAAGTATTTCCCTAGATCTGGAAACCCATGAAACAAGAATTTTTGGGGTTATAGGAATTTCCAGTGAATTCCAGCTGAGCTTTCTAGTTTATTGTAAGGCAAGAATGACTCTTTCTATACATGTCACCTCTATGTAAGAATGTGAAAGGGCAGAGGTTCCAGTGGAACGTTTATTAATCTTTCTCTGAAGATTCTTTTGCAGGAGGAGAGATGTAAGTCACTGTCTAAAGCCCTGCAGACTATTTTCTCTCTTCCCTCAACACCAAGAGAGTTATTTTGGTAGGTATCAGCATATCACCCGGAAATTTGATGTTTTCAAATCGTGCTACAAATATTCTTCAGAAAACTAGTGCCTTATAAGAGTTTCTGAAGTTTTGAACATACTGGAGATTTCACATCGGTCCTGTCCCTGTGTTCTATGGTTCTATGCCCCTGAAGACCTCAGAACTCTGTCAAAGAACTCTGGTTTAACATATTCTGTATCTTCTTCCCTCCTCCTCCTCCATGGAACAGCTTTACATTTGAACACAGAACTCTGGAGTAACAGACTGTTGAATGATTTCTGCACTAAAACTGTGGTATCCAATGTCAGCCTGAGTGATGATTTAATTTCAGTGGTCTGAACTTGTACCTGCTTCAATGCCACTGATTTGGACCTAGACTCTGCATGAGAAATATCTCTTGCTTAATATTTTTGTTCTGCGTTTGCCCACACGCCAGCTGGAAAGCCTTGGCATTGACCCTGGCCTGAGTGCCAGCTGGGAAATAGTTTCCCTGCAGTTTACAGAAGTGTCTCAGAAAGGACATTTTTCCTAGGCTGTCTGGAAACAGAAGCTTTGTGATTTGGTGTCTTTGTCTGACACTTCTGACAGAAGAGAGAACTGGTGTTTTCAGACTTATCTGGAAAAGTCCAAATGATTATTTTCATGATTAGCAGTTTAAAGAGGAAAAGTCTCAAGCCATAAGAAACCAAAAGGTGTTTACTCTAAGTTCCTGTGAAACATAAGAATATAAAATGGAAGTGAGATCAAGCACCTGGGACTACATGGACGTCACTGTTCTCAGACTACTGACGAGGACAAAGCTGATGGGAACACAGTCAGTGAAAGGCTGCACTGCAATCCCTGCTTCCCAAGCACACCATCATTATGGTTCCTCCTATCAACAGTGAGATTCTGGACTATGGAGATAGCCCTGCAGCAGACACATCTGTGATAGCAAAGATTGTGCATCTGTTTCTGAAGTGGACAGCAGAACCGGGGTACAACAACCACGAGTACTACTGCCTGTCAACGCCCCTAGTAAATGCTGAAGCCTTCCCTCTTCTGCCTCTATATGTTCAGCCAGAGCCCTGCAGCTGGGAATCTCCTGGTTACAAAGATCCATGTATCACAGCTGGACAGAGGAAGTCCTGTAGTTCATTCCTCACTGACATTATTAGTCTCACTGCTTACTGATGGTATGGTTTCATGGTTTGAGGTCAGGAAAGTGCTAATTGTCAAGTGCAAAACAACAGTGGCCTGTAGTGGAGGCCTAAGGAAGAAGATACTAAGGAAGATGAAAAATCTCAAATTTAAAGGTTGCTCTAAAGCCACATAATTATGGAAATATTTTCTTAAGTTGTCCTAGACAAAGTGGGATTTGTTCCACTTGTCATGGAGGATGATAATATCCAGACTATGAAGACAAAAATTAAGAATGCTGTCCTATTATTCTTTCACTTCAAGAAAAATAAGGATCACAACACTTATAATTTCTGTTTCTTTTCAAATACAATAGCTAACATATGGAAAATAGTTGCTATGATTTTTCTGATTTCATCCATCAATCAAAGAAGTAGATCAAATAGGAACTTGATTTGTCTAACAGCACTTAAGGCAGTAAGTTTGCAGGTATTATGGAAATACACTTGAAGCAGAGTGCTCTTATATAGGCAATGCAAAGCAAAGTGCCCCAATATAGAAGTCAATAAAATGTAGAAATCTTTCTCACAGTCACATAATGGCAGGTAATTATCACCACTGTTATTAGAACAGAGGTATGGCTCAGTAGGGGATGTCTAATCTCCAGAAAAACAGCATTTCTGTTAGGATAAGGTATTTCTATTTTTGCTGGGCTGGCACTGTATAAATAATAATGACAACAAGAGTGATCTAATTTTTGGCTCCTCCAAGGCTGCATTTGGTCCACAGATGGATTTTTGAGAACATACGTGTAATAGGAAAATAGTTACTTACCGATAATTTGATTTCTTCTGCATTGTAAGCAGTGCTCTGAAAGCTGCATGTTCTGCCCACTTCAGGAAATGGCCCAGGCAGGCCCAAAGGATACCCCGCTGGTGGTAATGGTGATTTATAATCTATTTTCTTTTCATGGCCTCTGTGAAGTGGATGAGAAGATAAAGTGCTATCACTTTTTGAACCAGTGATATTGCCTTGGCCATACAAAGCGGGACTGCAGTTTCTGTGGTATCCACCAGCCGTGAGCATAGCAGTCTGTTGACATTCCACTTCCCATGAATCTTCATTTTGGAAGGATCTAAAAGAAAAAAAACAAAACCTACATATGAAGCCCAGTTAAAACTCTTAAGCTATCACAGCAAAGCCAAGGCTTTTTCATTTTACTTGTTTACACAGTTTTGATTGCTTAGCTGTTCAAACTGCTTCATGCATGAAGTTATAAGATTCAGCATTACCAAATTGCAGCAATTTAGCAATTCCCACCTAGGTTACTTTAAAACTCTCAGTGTGCTTTCTGTGTCTGCTTTAGCTGTGAATTAAACCACCCTGATTTAAGCCCTTTCACTGGAGCTTAGGTTGAGGAACCTTGCCTTGGTTGGTATAACTGTGGCAGAACGAGCTAAAACACAAACTCCCCTCAGATATTGAAGATGCCAGTACTCCTTAAATGTTTGTTACCTATCCTTTGCTAATGGCTGCCATTCCTTTTTTCAGTGGGAAAAGCTATGAAAGCACTCATTGGCCGTGTCTAGGAACCAGAGTGAATTCAGCCACACAAATAGAGGAAATGAAATGTGAAAATGCAAGAGGAGAGAAAAAACCTATTATTAGTGATTGGATCATTAGTCAATTTTGATCTAATAGTATCTTAAACAACTGTGTTCAAGTGGCTAGAATCTAGAATAAATGCTTAAACAAAAATAGTACAGGAATCTTTAATTCTGCATTTTTACTGCAATGATAGTTTTGCCACTGATTTAATGGTAATACTTTGGAGATTGATATTAAAAAATTATTACATTTTTAAAATGCACTCTCTAAAAAATGTACAATAACATGCTTTTGTAACAATAAATGACATCTTCAGGCTTAAAAAATAATTTTAAGCATATTATTATGATTTTCCAAAACTCTTGTATCTCAGTGATCAGAATTGATGTGCAAGTACATATTTCTAATCATTTGTATTTCTGTAAAGCAAAAACTATCAGGGTTAACAGCAACTTAAAAAAAAAAGAAAGCCATTTTCCTCCCATTCCCAAAATAGTGTACTGAACAATTCTCATACTGTATTGATAAAAGCAGACAATTTTGAAACTCACTTTCCCAGATGTCTGCAAAATTACACTCATTTTCAATTGCATCATTCCTTGTATTATATACCAAACATGCAAAAAACCTTATTTTAGATTCTATTAATTTCATGTTACAGTATTTCTAGCTGAGATAAAAATTTCCATTGTATTGAGGTATGTGCTTATGTTGAAATTTTAATCTTGGGAGGTAACTACTAAAACATGATAGCAGTTTGAACAGATTCTATCATTGCAAACATCCTAAAACACTCTAGTAATTTGAAATGCAGCTACAAAAGCTTTTCAAGAGCATGTTCTCTGCCACTAAAATATAATTTAATAAATATTAAAGAGTATGCAGTGCTATTCAGTACTTTTTTTTTCTTTTCAAATAAAAAGAACTCGCCAAGTGCAGGGAAAAGACAGTGTTTTCTGCAGAAAGATCACACCATCATTTTCTAATCTTAATTAAATATTTGGTCTTGGGAGACAGTGGCTGTGGAGCCTTGATGCACCTGCTTTTACAGAAGCCCTTCTGCTGGTTTTCAAAGGGACAGAGTTGATTTTCTTCACAGTAGTTTGTATGGGGCTGTTTTGGATTTGTGCTGGAAACAGTGTTGGTAACACAGGGATGTTTTAGTCACTGCTGAGCAGAGCTTACACAGGGCCAAGGCCTCTTCTGCTCCTCATCCCACTCACCAGAGAGGAGGCTGGGGGTGCACAAGGAGTCAGGAGGGCACACCGCTGGGACAGGTGATTCCTGCTGACCACAGGGATATTCCAGACCATATGGGAGCATGACCAGCAATAAAAAGCTGGGAGAAGGTTGCCTGGGCATCACATGACAGGTGGTGAGCAACTGCACTGTTATCACTTGGCATCACTTGTTTAATATATTATAATTATAGCATTATTATTATTATTATTATTATTATTATTGTCATTTTTATCATTACTATTACCTTCTTTTTATGTCCTATTAAACCATATTTCAACACATGAATGTTACTTTTTTTTAAATTCCAATTATTTTCTTGTGAGTGGGGGAGTGAGCAAGTGACTGTGCGCTGTTTACCTGCCAGGTTAAATCACAACAGCCCTAAAGCAGGAAACTGAGTATTCAGCACATGGACTGTGCGGAACAACTCAGTTCTAATGAACTAATGAAGAACATATTTTTTTTCTCTGATTATAAAAGAAGCTGTGATTAAGATAATCTGAATGCTACAGCAAAGCAAATTATAAGCATGATACTGTATTATTATTTGTTACTATAATTTTACTTTAACTCTAATAATAATAGTATTATTATACATGATAACATCCTCAGATATACATGATAACTTTCTTAGACTATTCACCAAACCTTCCAGTTTTCTAAATCACCTAAAATGTTTACCTTTATGGACTCAGAGTTTTCTCCTTTCATTCATGCTTTTCTTTACATAAATACACTCTGCTCTTTGGGCACAGGAGAATACTTTTTTATTTTTCTCCCTATTTTAAAGTCCATTCCATCAATGGTTTGGATGAAGGGCACAGTGAAAAAAAGCCTGCCACAACTGAAAATAGATGGCATGAATAATAAAATCACAGGTTTTTGGTTTTTTTTTTAAATCTTGTGCACTGACCTTTTTGGAAGTAATTTTCTCTCTAAACCCACAGTAAAGTCTATGTGATCTGTGTTCTTTTTTTCCTCCAGAACTGCTTCTTTATGTATTTAATAAAAATTATTACTGTTGTGTTATAATTCCTCTAAGAATTTTCAGACTTGAGTGCCTACTTGACATGGGTTACGGTAGCCTTTAGATAATAAAACCAGATACTGCAAAAAAAAAGTGGGACTGATTTTTTTAAAAGGAACTCCCATTCTCCCATTTCTAGTGTAATCCATAGGATTGCTGGGGCTGCTTGGTATTTTGGAAAAACCTAACACCTACATTGAGGTGCTTTGATAGGGATACTAGGCCTTTACTTTGGATGGTTTCCACAGTTGTGGTCTAAACTTGTATCAGTTCGTGTGCAAACCAGTATCTAAGAACATAGATCTACTTTAAATGCAATCTGCAAATTTGTGAAAAGCTGTCCATTTGTTAACACTACCAATGCAAATACACTATTACTGCAGCTGAACAACTTATGCTTTAGGTGGGATTAGTCATAGAGTATTTAACATGTACACATGCCACACAAATAATATCACTGTTGACATGGTGACATGGGGGACAAGCAGTGAAAGAACAGTGTTCTCACAAAGGGAATTTAAACAGGATCTATTTTTCCTGACTCATACTTAAAATCTGCCTGGTCCCTGTGTGGTCAATGACTTCAGTGATGCAAAATCCCCAAATTCTTCACTCAGCTTTGCTGGTTAACATAACCAGTCTTGAGAAAGAAAACTACAGATCTTTAATGGCCAGAATGTCTTCAAGAATTTGTGTTGTTGCTTTTGCCTGGCAAGTATAACAGCTAGCTTGATTTTAAAATGGATAAAAAGCCTTTTCCTGAAGAATTGTGTTCACTGCTTCACTTTATCTATTGCAGTAACTGATACAGTGGTGTGACTAAGAGTTGTATGATCTCCAAAAACCTCCTGAACACAGATACTCACTGCAAACAAACAACCATTCAGCAATCCCCAGCTACCTTAGCAGGCATTAAGTCTTAGAATTTACCTTTCACTTTCCCCACATGATGAAAGTGCACTTTGGCTTGATCAGTTACCTATTTTGTGCATATTTTCGTGGTAAATAAATAGCTTTTCATTTTGGAAATCACAGGCATGTTTCAATTTTGGAAGAAACAAGCTGAGCAGATCAGATCTCTGATCTCTACATCAGAGAGTCCTCTAAGACCATGCTCAAATTTAAATCAACTGCATATAGTCAAGGTCTAAGTAAAGGACTGAAACCTTGAGAGTGGGGAAAGCTTATATAAATGTCAATAAGAAGTAAGATAATTACATAAGAAAACAATAATTAATTAAGGTGGTTATAGGTAGAATGTGGGCACAGTCCTTTTTTAACAAAAAGCTGCTATTTCTGCATATCTTACTTTGTAATATTTAGAAATTCACTGTATACTGAAATAAAGAAGAAATCGTGCTGCTTTTTGGATTGCCAGTATAACTTCCTGCAATTTCCTGTGTTTTCTCTAGAGGTCTCCTCTCTATGACATGATGGTGCCTGTGCCCAGAATTCCAGTACTGACTGAGAGACACAACTGAAAAATATTGTAGAATATACACCCATCACTTGCACAAACACCATGCTATCTAATTTTTTATGATATAAAAAAGTCTTTTATGACCTTTCTCCAGTGCCATAATTGCCATGGAAACAGAACTGCAAATTAAACTGGAAATAACAGGGTTTATGCTCAGAATAAAATAAACATACCCCAGATTTTAACTTAACCAACATCAATTTCCTAGTTGATCTGCTGGTTGAAAATTTAATTTTAGTTTTCTGGAAAAATCCTGAAGTAGTTTCCTGCTTGGGAACAGATAACTGATAGTAGAGAGAGGGCCCACTCATAAAAACACTGGCTAGGTGATGTGCATACACAGTACACGTCAAATTTGCATGCTTTAAAATCTGTGTATTTATTTATCTGAATAGCTTTACATTTAGGAATTCTAATGAATTATTTAGACCCCTAAATCTAGGTTCAATATATCTGTTTCATCATATTAACTGCAATAATAATAATAATTTATACTGTGTTCAGTAGTCTGGCTGAGATTTCTATTATGAGAAAGGTCAACTCTCACAGGTGTCTCTCTCACAGTTTTGATTGATCTTCCAACAGCTATGAAATCACAGTCCTGCAAATTACATGCATAATTCTATTGTATCAAATATTTATGTTCTCATAAATTAAATTTCACAGTCTCTTATGTACAGCAAGTGTAAATCCTGAGAAAATGGAAAAAAATATTATTTTTTCTTCACTTTAGAGGAGTTGAAGCATGAGCAAAAATGGCACTGATCAATTTTGTGAAGTTATGAGACCTACTGGTGCAGAATAATCTGTATCTTGATTTACAAGTATTTGTTTCAGCAACATCTTCAACATAATTTCAAACTTCATAGGAAATTAGCCATACCTGCCACTTCCAAAGATAGGTGTATCTGTGTGTATATATATATTCATCCATTATGTATATGCATATATATAAAAATACATATATCTATTTTTTTATATACACATGAATGCTATCTCCAATACAAAACAACACTCTTTAAAAAGAGATTTTAGGCAAAAAATGGAGCTACATTTACTGGGATGCTGCTCTGTTTTGCAGAAAGAAAATATTTTTAAATTTTGCCAAAACCTAAATATATGAGTTTGAAATCTTAACGTGTTCAATTTTGGCTCCAACTATTTCAACTTCACAGAACTATTTCCTGTTAATGCTATCATGTCAGTTCTTTATTACAAATAATCAATACATTTAGCTTCCTATTAATTTTATTTTCCTGTACTGTGAAATACTGTTTAGCAGCGTGTTTATTTTCTTTCTTTTTTTTTTTTTAATTTCAATGCTATGATTATAATATGTTTGAAGGTAATTCAATGGCTCACTGAATACAGGGAAATAAGAAGAAAGTCATCACTACATTGCTTTCTATGAGTCTGAATATTCTCAAGTCTCATTATTTTTCCCTAAAAAGGAGTTTATTGTAGTAATGACTTACTCAGGGCATCTGAAATTATGTTTCTCTTAAAAATCAGGTCACCCAAGAACACTGAAACCAGACAAGGCATTAAAATACATTTAATGAAACTTCCAGCAAATGAAACTGGAGGACACAAAGCTTTTCAGCAGGGCCTATAGTTCAAACTGCTTATTAAGAAAACCTCCTGTTGAGAAGTTTACCTCTCATGTTGATTTCTCTAGCCTTTCCTTGTCTTGTTTTTATTTGGTAGTAAAAATACAGTCTGCTCTATCTTGCAAAACCTGCAACTATGAATAGCTTGAGCAGCACATTTCATGTGCTAAATACTAAAACAGATATTAAACATTTCTGGGGCTTTATTTATTGCCAATTTCCATTAGCCATCCAGAAAAATGTAGGAAGTCCTTACAAATATACTAATTAGGTCTGATATTTATATTGGTGGGAGTTCTGAATGAACAGAAATAGCAGAAAACTTGACAGTTTGGCCTAGTCAGACCTTCCAAAACACTTACAAGAAGTTTCATAAATGTGTACAATCTAGATTATTACCTCTCTTCCTTTTCTTGCATCTTTGAATGGGTTTGGCAGCTGTGCTCTGTTTCTCTATATGCATCCGTGCGAACCAGTATCGATGTTTCTGTGTCATTTTGTGGTTTAACAAGGCTATTTTGTAGTCTTAAATTCTCATGTTTCATTTTGTGAACAGAAGCTGTGAAATTTCCATGTTCTTTGTTACATAAATCTATACACTGTGAAAGGAGATAATACCATCATTAAGTAGTTATTTTTTCCACAGTAAATGGGTATATTTTTAACAAGCAAACACAAAACAATGTTCTATGCTAAAGAAAAGACCTAGCTACCATATATAATCATGCAACATTTAGGGCAAACCAAGAGAATTGCCTCCAGAAAAAAAAAAATCACAGTAGATAAATGGAAAAGAAGGGATAACAGCCTCTATATCACAATAAAACAAATTAAAATTTCTCAGCAAACACGCATTCCAAATATTATTGTTGTAAATTTATCACTTGCTTTGTAAAACTGATGGCATAAAAGCAACCATAATAGCTATAGCTGCAGACTGTATTGCTCCCTCCAGTAACAATTCCTCCAAAAATAACAAGCAAAATTATAGGAGTTCATTACTACACTAGATACAGAGTATGTGTACAGGCACAGTTTAATATGTTTGTTGAGACAGTCACCTTCAGTTTCAGAAGCAGTGAGTAAAGCCATATCAGCACAGTCCTCTCTGTCACTAAACCCTGCTTCTCAGCTGGGTTAGCCCACACGGTGTGCAAGGCAAAATACTGAAAGTGCAAGCCACAGGTGCACTGTGATCAGGGGCTAAAGAGCCCCATCCACTAGGATATCAAGAAGGGACGACAGAGATTAGCTCTGCAAGTTGTCTAGCCAGGATACTCTGTTCCTTTTTTTCTATCACTTATTCCATGAAGCCTGTGCTGCACACCTGAGCCAGCTATTTTGGAACTATCTCTCTGCAGTGTACTGCACTGCATTGTGTAATATATTTGCAATAACAGTATACTGTCATCACCAGGAAATTTTCAAAAGGTTTATCAGATTACAGACAAAAGACTAAAACCCTTTGCATTTCATTAAGTTGTGCTTTCATATATTCCTAGATTTACCTTATTCTCTTGGAACTCAGGAACTCATTACAGATTTGGTTCTTTGTACACTGCTGGCACAACTGTGCTTTTGAAAGCTTGTCTATTCCTTGCACCGATTTGATACCTTCTCTTCCTGTGAACCTCGCCTTCCTCAGTTTTAGGGTGAATTTATGAGTGAAGATGGCATGGAAATGCCAGAAGGTATAATAAAATTTAATATTTTGTACAACTATGGAAGAGCAGGGGCTCAGCTACATCTCACATGTGGGAGGAGTGTAAGAACCGAGGGAGAAGGAGAGCATTAAGTCATCCTACCACTAATAGCTCTAGAATCAGCAGTAAAGTTATAATGGCATGAACCCCAAAACTGAGCTGGCCTAGCTACATTGCTTTTGAAATCCAAACCCTGAAAGTAACCCTGCCTGATGATGCATTACACCACACTGACTTAGGCTGGCACTGGTCTCAGAGGTCTGTGTAGTGCTCCACTGTACAGCACAAATATGTTCATAAAATCTCGCCAATCCCTGGAATCTTAATATCAAATATATCACAATCTCTAATGTTTAGATCCTCACAATACATTAGTGAAGAAGCAAAGACTTCTGAAGTCCACAAATCTACTGAAACATGTATTGACCTTGGTATATGTAGTAACTGGATTTTACTGTTAAAATATAACAAACATGGGATGTCTCCAAAGACCCTTGTCAGACCGCTCTTCTCAATCTTCAAGAAAAGTGTCACTGCAGAGAAGAGTTAGACATGCATACACACATCCATCTATGCTTCCAGAATAATATATCAAATATACACACACAGATATCCATAATAGTGTACATGCGTGTGTAGGTAAGACGTCACTGATGGACATCCATGCTGTTTTAAGGGTGTGGATAAATGTAACATTCTTTCATGACAATTCACAGGCTACAAATCCCCCCAAAATGTATTTACATCAGTATTTCCAAACAACATTCCAGTGGGATTTTTTTCAGTGATACAGTAACTGCAGATGTTCTGCAAGCAGGAGATGTTTCGAAGCTTTTTGTGGAAAACAGCATATATACGATTTATTATACCTACATAAACCATAGTTCTAGATAATCTTATGGCACACTTTTTATCAATCAAATTTTAAGGCTCCGCTGTTTGGAGAGATATAAATACTAAACTCTGAAAATAAGCTGGGTGGGAGCAAAATGTGTCAGTTTTTTACACTGCTATTTAAATACCATGTGAACAAAGGGGTAAGATATTAAAAAGGGGCATATTTTTGTCTGTGAGAATGAAGACTGTTTAAACTTAAATAAGTGATATCACTTACAAAAAAAAGTAAGCTCCCAGAAATTGTTCAGTGTCTAGACAGTTACTGAAAAATTTATCTTACTTGTAGTTTAATACAATCAAGGTAAAAATTACTCTTAGCTATACTCATCTTCAGGCTGTGTGTGAACCACTTGGTTTTGATTATGTTGTACGCCTTATTTTTATTTATTTAATTTATGAAAGCTAGAAATCTCAATTTCTGCCATGATCTTAATCTACATTTACAATAAATATAAGTAACTATTCTTGCATACTATGCATACTTCATAGGTTAAAAAAGTTACCATGCAACTTTCACACTCCTGGTTTTCCACCATTTCTTTGAGATGTGTGTTTTCAGATTTGATAACTTGGTAATGGAATTCCAACAACTAGGAAAAGATTAAGTTCTTAGTTAAATACCAGAATCTTACTCTCAACTGAAATAACACTGAGTATAGATACATTTAAGCTTAATTTTACAAAATGTACATTAGTAACTGCAAAACTTACTATAATATTTTTAAATATAGCAATACCAAAGTAGGAAGAAGATATTAAATAATCTATAAAAGATATATAAATACAATGCCTCTGAATTTATTTACTGATTTGAAAGAAGTAATGACTTAGGAAAACAAGTTCACATGCAGTTACTACATAGAAAGAGGACAGATTTTACAGGCCACTGAAATTAGATTAAATCCTATTAATGACATCTAGAAATTATATCTATTCATTTAGTGATATGGAAATACTTGGTAAAGAGCACCACACAGCAGGAGATATCTCTCATATTCCCCAAACACTAACTTTACTATTGTCAAAAGTAAAGTATTCCTTCAATTACAGTTTTCCACATGTTGTGACCCTCTCAGAAAACACAGAGATACCAAGAAACCTCTAAATATGATGGTTCTTTTGTTTTACAAACTAAGTAATGAAGCTGGCAATTTTTTTTTAACATAAATTTGCGATTGAAATCCCCACTGGTATCTTACATTTCCAGCTATAAAATTACTAGAATTTTCTATGCAGATTTGTACCATTCTTCAAAAAGCTTTGGAAAACACTGAAAATTTAGAAACTTAAAGCATTTGTAATAACCACAAACTGGAAGTTTTCAAGATCTTTTGCATGTTAAAATGATAACTAGATGTGATGGTCAGAATGAATTTCTATTTAGAGGTGCAGTTGACATTTACTGGTGATTTCTTGTTCCAGTATCAATTTGGCTGCTTTTGTAATACTTCACAGATATTACAGCACCACTGATAAAAACTACAGGAAGAAATGTGATGTCTTTTTTTCTACAGATAAGGAATGTCATTATCAGTAGTGAAGTAAAATGATGTGGGCTGCTTTTGCCTACTTGCATACCTGCTGTTTTGTTAACAATTTGTGTTTTGTCTCTAACTCCATTTTTAACTGTCTTTCCAGAAGACTAGCTTTCTCCATGATAGTTGCTATAGTGATCTCTTTCTGATGAAGCTCCTCTGTCAGGTCAGAGATTTCTGTCTTCATTCTTTCCTGCTCAGACCAATGGGACTGCTCCTCTCGATAAATATGGTTTCTTATCTGTAGCAAATACATTTCAAAAAGAAAAAATGCTGTGCAGTAAATACGATTGCATCACTTGCTACTTATCAGTGACTTTTTCTGCTGTTGCTTCCAAGACACCAACTCTTCTAACTGAACCAGAGATTCTGAAATTCTAAAATAAAATGTCTTTGGAAGTCAGTGTACAGAGCTTTGTTTATTTTTACATACTTTTTGACCTCTCTTGTATTTTTGTTTGCCTATGTAATACTAGAAATGAACAAAGTACAATACATTTCAATTAACCTTTTAAAAGAAAGCAATAAAAATCATATAGAGAATTAGAATTCATGGTAAAGAATATCCAAGGAAATATCTATTCAACAATAAATTTAACTATGATTTATTTATACTGCACTATACAGCTTTAAAAAAAAAGTTTGATGAAGCTTAAATTAACTTAGGAGCAATATAAATAAACCAATCTAGAGGTTCTTTAATACGAAACTATTTTAGAAATAAAAGGTATATATGGAAAATCATTTAATGAGAATTTTTCCTGTCATTACATTAAAAAATTTAAGGTCAAACTTTCATCAATACCTCTTCTGCAGAGTTCTGCAAAGTATCAACAGAAAAAATTGTTTTCCTAATCTTTCTACTATAACCAAAAATTTAGTACTGACAGATTTTTTATTGTATAAGAAACAGAACAACAAAACCCAGCATAACAACCTTTGAAGCCATTTTACCAACTTTTTGCAGTACTACAGACAATGAGTAACAAATGGCATTCCATTTCTATTTATGCAAACAACACAGAAATATTAGAATTATAAAGAAATAGACATAAATGCAAAAACCTAAGAGCTAGATCAAGACTGTAACGCCAAAATTGATGAATCCAAGTCAGATGCATGCAAACAGAGACATTCAAAACCCACTTGGCAAGCACTCCTTTAACCTGCTCTAGGTGGCAGAGTGACTGGACCCTTCCAACCTAACAATTCTGTGATTTTGCTTACATTGCTACTTGGCAAAACCACAACATGCTTGCAAGACAGTTCTGAGCATCCTCTACTTCCAAAGTATTTCAGCCTGCCAAGCCATACACCGTTCCACAGTGCCATGCCACTGCTGCTTGCTCACTTCAGCACTTCTGAAATGTGCAATGCAATGTGATGTGTAGTTCCAACCAGAGAGCTCTGCCCTAGACAGTGCAGCAGGTACTGGGTTAAGCTCAGCCTTGTGTGAGTTACCAATTGATCAGAGCTTTGGAGGCTTTCTTAGTTGCATGGTGTTATCTGAACCACAATAATGTGTAGTCATGCTCTCTTCCATTATTTCAGTGAAGTAGGTAGGCAAAGAATCAGAATGTCAGTTTTACAGCTACACAACTAAATGCAACCATATAGGGAATAATTTTCCTATGAAAAACTTTATGCTCTTCTGAACCTACAATGCATCCTCCTGCTCTCTACAGTACATGCACATACCCTAGGTCAGTACTCTTTCTTAAAAATCCTATACTGCAGTTAAGATCTGGAAATGATATAAAATACCTTGTTCAGCTCTTCTTCTTGGTGTTCTTGACTTTCTGCAAATAGCAATAACTCAGGGTTTTTATTTTCTAGTTGCTCAGTAAGCTGAACACGAGACGATTGATGCCTTTAAGTAAGAAATAAACAAAAAATGAAACAACCAGAACATTCAGTACTGTTTACCTTGTAGAATCCTTTCCACAGTGTAAAACTGTAGAACACCTGCTTGCTGATGAAAAAATACCCCCAAACATAACCAACATTTGGCCTAAATCAGGCTGGATTTTGGGAGATGTCTAGGAATCAAGGACAATACAGCCATGTGCAGAAAGACTCCTGAAAGCTCTTATAGACTGGTATTTCATAATTTGAAATGGCTACAGATTAGATAAGCCATAAAACCATGATGATTTTATTCAAAGGAGGTTAGGGAGAATCCTAGTTACATTGTTTCCAAGTGTTTTAATGCTGAGAAAATGAAAGACTGTAAAGATATAGGTAGAAATATCTGAAATGTATTGATTTGTAAAAATCTAGCCATCATTAAAGCCTTTTAACAGAGCCTGCATCTATTGCCTGAAATTGTCTGATATTATTTTCAATGAAAATATCCAGTCTAAAATTTAGAAGCTGACATTTGAATCCAGAGTATCTTTTCAAGCAAACTTAATTTACAATAAATGTAAGAAAAAAATATTAGCTCAGAACTACTTGTTAATTTAAATAGGTCTTCACCATCCATACTTTATTTGAATTTCCTGCATATCTTTATACTCTTTGATTTTCAATAATTCTGTATACAACTTTTGGCATTCCAGTTGTATCCTTCTCCAGAGACCATCCCTTGACTGAAGCTCATTTCTCATGTCTGAGATGTCTGCCTCCATGTTCTAAAGAAACAAGCAAATGCACAAACAATTAAATAAAACTAGACAGCTTAAAATGCTGATTTTTAACACATCATATTCAATACCTGTACATACATAATTTTAATTTCTGAAAAACATATTTCTTCCATGTCAGTTCCTCTCATCTAAAAATCAGATTCTGAATATTCTTTAGCCCTTGCAATGTTCCAATGTATCTGCCTCTGAAATTATCATAGGAAACATAATTCAGAAGTTCTTTATTGTACTAAATGCATCTAGATTATATAGCTTGCTTGTTTTAGCAGGTTCTGCATCCTGGAACATGTTTCACATGCCAGAACTGGTGCCATAAGTGGCTTCCATTCTTCATTTCCAAATTTATAAACTTTAGAAACTACAAGGCTGCACAAATCTTCTTAAAAACCAGTTCCATCTGCATGGAGTTAATTGCTTATTTAAATGAACATCACAAAATTTTCAAACAATCAAAAAGACATTTCTTAGGGACTTGACGAACCTTATTCTGTTTTATCTTTTATTTCTGATTGATAGTGTGTTAGACAACCTGAAGACACATATTACATTTGGCATGATAAAACATGAATTCCAAAAAAATACCAGAATTTCACAAAAATATACTGAAAACATATTAAATATGAAATTGGAAATAGAACCCACAAATAACAAAAGTAACAATAACAATCAGTGCTTGCAATATCCAGAGAATATGAATTGCTTCTCACCTAAGATCCAAAAGCATGTTTCAGATTAAAAAAAAATAATATTTTTCCAAGGATATTGATCCTTTAACTTTCAAACTATTACACTAAAAGCATTTACATTTTTCATTATTTCTTTATTTTATTTGAATGTAGCTTCCATCTTTAAGAGCAAAAATAAAACCTTTAAAATTTGAAAAGAGAACTGGATTCCAGAAACGGCACTGCAAGAAGGAACTTCAAAGGTTTATTTCCCTTGGAGGCTCCTATGAGAATGACCCTCCTCCCAAGAAGCCTGTTGTCTTCCTCTGGCTGAAAGGGTTGCTGAAGACAGATATGAAGTGCTTTTGCTTTTTTTTTTGGTTTTTTTTTTAGTGGGAGGCTGCATATGTGGACTCATCATCTTATCCTTTGTTACATGAAGAACAAGAGAGCTTTTTTAAACACCAAAATGCAATTCTGGGTCTATTCAAGTGAAATAAAGCTTAATAAACTGTTAAAGTTGTTGCTAAGACTTGCTTATTCTCATCTTCATGACTTCAACATTCAAGAAAGAGCCACAAATGTTTTATAACATATGAACTTGGGTGATGGTTACTCCTTTGACTTCATTCTGGGTGGATAAAGGAAATGAATTCCGCACAATTGTGTGGCAGAAATCATATTTTCTGTGATAGACTGCAGTCAGCACACATATTTACATAAATTGTATTTTCTTGTGAATTAAAATAGTAACAGGAACAACAGCAGCCACAGCAGCAGCTGCAATATAATTGAAACAGAACTTCAGGTCAAGAGTTTCACAGTTTCAGATATCATTTTAAAAAATTAGATATGCATCACTTATTATTTCAGAAAATATCTATTGCATCTGGTTAACATGAAAATCAATTTTGAAGCAGAAAACTTTAGGATTTGTTTAGAAAATATCTCATATAAAGAGTCTATTTCAAGTTGAAAAAATCATTAAATCTTTTCTTTCTTTCTTTCTTTCTTTCTTTCTTTCTTTCTTTCTTTCTTTCTTTCTTGGTTTTGCTTCTACTAGCTTGCCAATCAAAACAAAGTCCAAAAAATTTCCTGATTAGGTCTTGTTCTAATTCTACTCAAAGCTGTTTGTGGTGGGTTGACCCTGAGTGGATGCCAGATATCCACCACAGCCACACTGTCACTGCCTTTCCCAGCTGGACAGGGCAGAGAAACAAGAGAAATGCTCTTTGTTTTTTTCTGGAAACAATGACAGAGAGAGATCACTCACCAGTTACTGCCAAGGGCAGAACAGACTCACCTCACAGAAATTAACTCATTGCTAATCAAATTAGACCAGGTTAATGAGAAATAAAAACTAAATCTTAGAACACCTTCTCCTCATGCCTCCTTTCTTCCCAGGCTCAACTTCACTCCTCAGTTCTCTACCTCCTCCCCTGCAGTGCTGTAGGGGTATGAGGAATGGGGGCTGCAGCCAGTTCATCACACCTTGTCTCTAATGCTCCTTCCTTCTCGGCTGGGCTCATCACACTCTTCCCCAGCTCCAGTGTAGGTCCCCTCCAAGGAAGATGGTCCTCCATGAACTTACTCATGGCGACTCCTTCCCATAGGCTGAAGTTCTTCATTACCTCCTCCAGCGTGGCTTCATTCTATGGAGTGCAGTCCTTCAGGAAAGGCTGCTCCAGTGTGGGTCCCCAGTGGGGTCACAAGTCCTGCCAGCAAACCTGCCCCAGCGTGGGCTCCCCCCTCCACAGGGCCACAGGTCTTGCCATGAGCTTGCTTCCAGCATAGGCTTCCCACAGCCTCCTTCAGACATCCTCCTGCTCTGGAGTGGGTCCCTTCAGGAGCTGCAGGTGGAGCTCTGCTCCACCATGGTCCTCCATGGGCTGCAGGGGAAATCTCAGCCCTGGTGCCTGGAGACCTCCTGCCCCTCCTTCTGCACTGACCTTGGTGTTTGCAGGGCTGTACCTGTGACATGTTCTCACTCTTCTCTCCCCACTGCACAGGGCTTTTTCCCCCCCCCCTCCTGTTAAATACATTAACCCCAAGGTGTCACCATCACAGCTGTGTGTGTCACCATCACACTTAGCCTTGCCTAGCAGTGGGCCCATCATGGAACTGGCTGGCATTGGCTCTGTCAGACATGGGGGAAGCTTCCAGTACCTTCTCACAGAGGCCATCCCTTGAGTGCCCCCATTGCCAAAAACTTCCTAACACTAACCCAATACACTACTCAACCTTTGAAATACAATTATATGGTGTATTTTTACATAAATTAGTATCCAGTAGCTGACCTAATGCTGACTTTTCAAGAACCAAGCCCCTTGTGTGATGTTTTCAGGTTACCTCTCATGTTATGGCTGCAGATAAGTTTGTCAGATAATTCACATGGTAGAGAAATAGACTGCAGTCTCCATTTAGATCTTTTAAACTTTGCATTTTCTGTAAAGTCAACAAACTGCTCTTCCATTCATTTCACTTTTTTATTTGCTAATTAATAGTGTAAGTGAAATAATTAGAAGCACACTGAAATGATCATAGGCATAAAGGAATATACGAGGCACAACAATTCTTGCTTTCATTGCCAACAGAGTTCTCCACACCAAGATACCCACCTACTCCTTCCTTCTTTACCCATATCATGTCCAACTATCCTCCACCTAATTCTCCTTCAAGCAAACCTGCTTACTTTTTCTGGCTGACAACAGGCCTTGTACTTTCTTCTTTTCTCATACAGACATTCCTAAAAAAATATTTTCCTTGAGCTACCCCTTTTCACCAAACATTGACATCAGTGTTTCCCTTATGCAGCTATTTCCAAATGCAGCTTTTCTAACTAACACAACAGCATTCCACACCACCAACACAGTTATTCCGCAACTTTCTGCCCTTCAGATGACACTGTTATGTACATCCAGCTCCACTTCTACTTAAAGTGTCTTCAAGCTTCCTACAGCTCCTGTATTCTCCTGAATACATGATTCCAAAATTCTTCCTGCTTGAAGATTTTCTCTAAGGTGACAGCACAATCTCTCTGTCATACAGCTTGTATCCACTTGCTCCGACTGCCATGATTGGTTCCACTGCATATTCTAGTCCCACTGCTTTTGATGGCAGCCTTTTTAACAGGCCCCAAAACAGAAGTTTTGCTTGCACACTGATAACTTGTATACAGGCAAAAGACAGTGAACTAATGTGCAAATGGCGTGTATAAACTTGGCTCTTCTAACAATACCTGACAACACATACTGAAATTAACCTCTGCCACATATATGCTATTTCCTATGAAGTATATTGCATATGCTGTTAGCACTCTGCAAGACTATCTGTAAACAGAAACAAATTTTTCTCCAAAAAGACTTGAAGTTACTATAAACCATTCAGTATATTACTGAACCTAGAAGTGCTTAAATAAATAAGCAAAAAGATAACTGGTATATGTCACCAGAAAAAACCATCAACAAGAATCTCATTCCTGATATGTTTCAAACACAGATAATAAAAAAGGTTGTAAAGATCTTGTATTATCTCAATCTTGTCAAAACTCATATACCATGACCAAAAGAAGAGGAGCAAATGGTCAGTGCTACACTGAAAAACAGCGAACCAGGGACAAAAACTGATGGTTATTTACAATAGCCAGAAACTTAAAAATTTTTCAAAATTGACTGCATAATCTCCTTTCAAAACAAACAAAATACACCATACATGTTTGTATATACTTATTTACTAGCTATATGGCACAATGAACAAAGTGTAAATCAGATAAAGAAATTTCACAGAAGTCATTTATATACAAGGAACCAAACTAGGGGAAGTTCATGTAGATGCTATGGATATAGAAGAGTTATAAAACCCTAGATACACAGACAAGAGAAAAAATATACTGCTACTATTCAAACTTATTTCTGTTTTGCTAAAAAAAACCAACCCATACTGCTCCCAGATTATTCTGTGTTCATGCACAGAATACACCTACTGTATATTTATGTAGGCATCTCATCTTGATTTTCCAACATTAATTCCACAGTCATCATAAAAAAACATTACTACCTGGCATTGATTTTGGTACATTTTTAGATCCTCATGGAGTTTCATATTTTCCTCTACCAGTTTATTCTTGTTTCTTGCTATTTCATTCACAATTGCCTTTAGCTTTTCAATAATCAAATCATCCTTTCCACTTTTGGGCTGGGTATAGGTAATTAGCTCTTCTTTGTTTTGTTTCTTATTGCATATTTGGAGTTGATAATTCTGGATCTGCTTCTATAAAACAAGAAAATATTTTGAATTAAACTCAATAATTGTATGTAAATTGCTAGGACCAAATCATTACTACTAAAATCATAAGGCTATTTCTGTCTTCACCTGGATTTGCTTAGAAAAGATGGCACAATTCATACAGTTTGAATTACTTGCCCTCAGTAAAAAAAAAAAAAAAAAAAAAAAAAAAAAAAAAGTTTCAAGAACCTTCAAGGGCACAGGAGTTTTTCAAGGATTTTTTTCCTCCGGTGCTGTGTATTTTCCTAGTACTTAATGCTAATGAGCCTCAAATGTGAAAAAGGTGATTATGATGACCTACTCAAAGCAGTTACCTGTGAGAAATAATTTGAGAGAAACGTTCCTCTTTGATTCATTGGACCCAGTAGGAGCTGTGTGTGTGTGTGCCTCAGGATAGATATTAACCTTTGACTGGAGGGCTACCATTACATAGGTCGTGTACAAACAGCTCAGTTACTACAGGAACTGCACTTCTTTGAGATCATTATCCTTAAACTTGGGGAAGAGTCATTTGTATACCTGGCAGAGTCCTACACCCCATGCAGCTTCTTGTACTAATTAAAATCCTAACCACAAAACTTCAGAAAATTGGTATTGCCAGTATTTCTGAATCCACAGGCATTGTGAAGAAGCATCATTACTATGGCAACTGTTTTTGCTGTTTAAAAAATTATCCACATGAATCCCACTACTGGGAGATTAACAAGCAGCACAAATCTTTCAGAAAACTGAGAATTACTTGAAAAATGACAACAAAGTATGACCTGGAAATCATATATCATGTGCAGAGAACAAGTTGGGCAAGAAAATATAAAGTAAAAATAAATAGGGTTAAAAATACCATATTTCAATGACAAGGACTGCAAAAAGTAATACTTTAGACAGTTTTTGATGTTATTGACTATGTCCCTGTAATTTGTGTTGGCTGAGAACCTAAGTAGAATATACCACTAGCTGCATATCAAATAAAAAGCCAAAAAAAATGTGCAGGTTAAGTTTCATTTCTATAGATAAAAAATGTAGGCCCCTTTGACATCCAAGTTATGGACTCGGATATACCAAAGTGTCAATACATTCTGTGAAAATATAGTGCAAGACTGCAACTGGAAATCAAAGATCTCATGAAAGACAAATTTGAGGCAAAGATGCAGGAAAAATTAACACTTCTGAAACAGCTAAGAGTAACAGTCCATCAAATTGGATTTTAAAAAATAGTTGGTGTTATGTTACAGTTGTGAAGGAAATTGTCTTCAAAGCAAGTTCACTGATGGCAATTAAAGCTTCAACAGAAAAATGTGAATGATCACCCTGAGTACTCTATTTTGACTTGTCTAACTGTACAACATCAGTCAATGGTTTTGTCTAGTCAAATGTGCTTTTTTAACATATTTGTATGAAAGTTCAATTGCTGGAATGTAATGCTTTCAGCAGCTAAACCCAAAACATAACTGTCATCCTTGGAAACTCTGGATATGTGTAAAGAGTCTCATAGGAATTGTTAAGAAAGTGTTTCACTAGATTAAGATCCAATGAGCTTAGTAACAGTGGAAAAGGGAATTACCAGTGAGCAACATAATTGGCTTGCCCTTACTTAATTTTCAAGCTGTCTTGTGGCACAGTCAATTTGTGAGTTATTTTCTGGGTTTGTTTTTTTTTTAGAGAAGGATAGGTCATCACAGTATCATTAAATAACATTTTTTTTTTCTGGATTAGAAGGAATTAAAAAAATAAAAATATGTAGTATCAATAGTCTATATACAAAAAAAGTTGTAAGCAAATTGGCAAGTAAAAAATAATCATAAAGTCAACCAAGGAACTGCATGATAACCAGAAGGCAGAAAATATGAAGAAAAAAAGGGCTAAGTGATCCAACAAACAACTCCAAGAGTGATTCTGGAGTAGCATATGAAAATTAATTTTTTTCTGCATAAATAATACTAATTTATATTTATGATCTTAAAAAAAATGAAGGCTATTAGATTTGAAGGAACTTTATACTTGTGCCAACACCTTAATGGCATGCACTATTTACTTGGTAAGGTACTTATTAATAACTTGTCACAAGTAATTGCATATTAGTGAATAGCATGGAAAAGTATATCCATAATATGCTTAAAAAGTAAAAAGGAATATTCACTGGTTTTTGTAATTGTTTGGGTTTTTTTTAAAGAAATGTTATCATTTTAATCATGATCCTTATTAATTTTCTCATTTTCCTGAGAAAAACTAAATTAAAAAAACCTGCTTGTATTATTAGGTCTTCCAATATGGTTCTGCCTTACCATATATCACTATCAATATAGACATGCATTGTAAAAGTCACTGTAAGCTTAGTTTTAAAAAATTTTAAGTTAAAGTAAGTTCTAGTTGAGCAAAGAATTAATTTTCTTCCTAGAGTAGGAATTTTACCTGAAATAAATTACATTTCTCGGGCAATAATTTGGGCTGCATATCTACATAAACAGGGTTATTTACACAGGTTGTCCCATTCTTCTCCCATTCTTGTGATTTTGCCTTAAATTCCTGAAAGACAGCAAAACAAGGCTAGTAAACATAGAGAAAATATCTATTTTCCTCAATCTAAAGAATTTTGTAATTTGTATCATTCTAAGAAATACCTGGTTTTTTAATTAACACATAATTTTTTCCTTAATTTTGGAAAGAAGTTAAAAAAAAGAACAATTCTATAAACCAGCTGTCCAGTCATCCCCACCAGAGAAAGACCAGTCTTAAGGGCTATTGATCTGAGAACAATGAGTGTAAACATAATAATTGAATAAAAACAATAAAATCAAGTTATTACTATGATGCACAAATTGTACTGGATAGCAGTTCCTGTGACTTTAAAGCTGTATCAGTGTTGAGCAGGGTAATCAGCAGGGAATCAAACCCTTAATATTCAGACACAAAGTGCTCACTTTTCACCTTGGTTTTTAATGGGACAACAGCTACATTGAATAAATTTTACTTCTTGCTCTCTAAAATTGCTGCTTCAGGTTCTGAGTTCATCCAGTTTAAACAAAAAGCTGTTAACAAATATTTTTATGCTAGATTATCTAATATTGGGTTTGTATTTGCACTTACATTCATATTTATAGTGTATTTGAATATGCTTTAAACTCATGCCAAACTTTATATGTTCACAAATATATTTTAAAGGCAGTATCCTAAAAATAAGCAAAATTTCAGTTACTAAAGCTGTTGCTCTTTTAGTTTGAAAATTCAGCAAAATAACAGTACACTGATTTATATATTGAAAACTAATGGAAATGTTGTTCTAAAAAGACAGATGATATTTTATAATTAAGCTAAACTGGCATATTCCCCAAATTTAAAACAATAAGGGCTTTTTTTTTGCTACTGAAAAAACCTGACTATTTCTCAACACATATTGATACAAATCTTCTTTCATAGCTTTCCTGATATCTGCTTTGGCATTTATAACAGTAAACATCTCCCTATTTTATAAAACATGATACAAATGGAGTTTCAGTCTACTAAATAAGGACTGAAGGTTCAAGGCCTTACTAAAGCACTGCTGAGCTTAGTAGATTTTCACCACAGTAATTATTTCCTGAATACTCAAATTTGCTGAATATATTCCAAGCACTCATTTTTCATACTGCATAATTAATTAAATTATAGCATTGTCTTACATTATTTTCACATTTTAATCTCGAGTAAGGTTATTCTCAAATTAGCTGACAGTAGTGATATATCAATGATAGATGTACAACCCATTTATTATTCTTGTAGTAGCTGATGTTGGCAGCTATGCTGCAGTCCAAAGCATTGTAGCTTTTCTGACTGTGAGAACTTCCATGTGGAGGAGACAGCCAACATCATATAGAGTTGGGATGTGTCTATGTGGATACAGGAACCTGGATGTCACAGAAGTTAGTCCCGTATCTTACAAAATAACATAAAAGGCAAGTCCAAAATACAGATACTAAGACCCTGCTTGATTTGGGTTAAAAGCAGGAAATTAAAATCTACTAGTGCTGAATTGATTGCAAAGTCCTCAAAGTGTCCAAATCATCTACATTGTAAATCTGCATCATAAACGTGTAAGTCCTCCCAATGCTTAGCGCTGGACAAGCAGCTCCCACATCAGCTGGTACCACTCTCCTTGCTTTTCCTACAGCACCCAGCCCAGTAAGCATGTGGAGCACACACTACTTTATTATGCTCTTCACAAAGGATGGACAGAGAAAACATGGATTTTTTGACCATCCTATGCTTCATCAAATTACTGCTTAGACTGTTCTTCCCATAAGTGGAGGACTCGGTGTAAAAATCTTTCAAGACAGAATCTGAAGTATAATCTTCCCATGTTAGTTTTCTACCTAACAGACAAATGTTATTTTTCAACAGGCTCCAAAATTCTTCCTTTTGAAGTTGTTTCACTTAGCTCAGGATATCAGGAAATTTATTGGATAGGTAAAAAAGAAGCAGCAAAAATTACCATACCTAGAGATGATATTGCTCAGTTAGAAGCAATACTGGATATCAATTTCTGCCCCACTGAATGCAGCCAGAGGAGTATTTGGAGAGAAGACACCCCTTGCGGGCACACTCTCTACAAGCTCTCTATCTTGCCTAACTTTCCTGTTGGTCCAATAAATACCTGATTATTCCACAAATCATAAAGTAACCTCTGAGAAGTCAAGGTTGGGAATTATGAACAAAAATCAGTGTATTCCTGTATTCAAGAATAAGTCCACTAAAATCCAGCCCGTGTCCAAAGGGATATGGAGTATGACTGAATCCTGTCCTCAGTATCTATTATCTAGTCCCCCAGCCACTATGCTGGATTCTGCAGGATGTATTTTTAAGTGCCCAATCCTTCCTCATACATTGCCTAGGGAAATTAGGCACTGAGGTCAAGGTTACAGATTGCTTCAGGCATATGGGTGCTGACAGGATATAGGTTTAACAAGCAGTTTTCCAGTCCTAAATCCTTTTTTCTATGTAGCCCAAAGTGGTCAAGGCTGTCCTGAGGTCTATAAAACTTGAATTAATGATAGGTATTATGTGACAGTATCCTGCATATGCACAAGCTGTCATGCCTCAAGAGATTGTGTTATACAGTACACATCTATTCATCAGGAAAAAAGTAAAACTTATTTATAGTTACATTTACAAAAATTTTGCTATTAAATAATAATAAAACTAAGAACCATTCTTGCCAAAGCAAAACAATTATATAAGTTTTGTAGAACTATGAGCAAAATAAAGCTTATGATTTTAATCAAAGATTAGTTCTAGAAGCATATTAAAATGAAAATATAATGACAAGTCTTCTTACCTCAAGTTTCACATATAAATTCCTTGGGTTAGATGATGTGTCCAGGTTTTCCCCACATTTTTCTCTACTTTCGATCTTTTTTTGTTTTAACTGATGTGACTGTAGCTTTTCATAACTATGTATCAACTTTGAGAACTAAAATCAAAAGAGTTGAATATGCAGAATCTATCAAGAAGGACAACATGACCAAAGTTTTCTTTAAACTAGAATCACCAACTGCAGCTTTAGTATTCTAAATGTTTAATCAATGTAACAAAAAATCAAGGAATAAAGTTAAAATCAATTAATCACAAGATCATCTATCACAGATGAACAAGACTAAGCTCTCATATAAATGTTAACTAACTGTTCAAATGGGTTCATTTGACTGCTACTTAATTCTGCTGCAGCTCTCCATGGCATTGCTACCCACAGAGTCATTTCCTCTACAGTGTTCATATGGAATGTTCTATACTTGTTTACTGCCATCTTGTGTTGACATTTTTAAAGGGTGCTTCACTAGTCAGAACGAAAGATTATCATTAATGTACTCTAAACTTGAGTGTTTCTTTCTTGTGATGAAAATTGTTGAAATGTTATGTGTGTGATGATTGCACTCTTCTGGTACCACTGTGTGTGTCTCAGAATTAGACACTAAATAGACAACAGACACTGTCTACTGATGTCACCATGAAAGGCTTAGGAGTCAGAGGCACAGAAGAAAAGGTGCCAGGAGAAGGACCAGCCTCTCCAGAAAAACAGCCAGTTTTCACATCAGTTCACTACACTGAACAAAACAAAGGGTCTGTCGAGTGCCTGTTAACAGATTTCATACAGAAATGTGATATTGTTTGGTAGGAATATGTACATTTGATTTTGAAAAAAAACAGAAAAGCAAACCCAAGGATATTGATAAAGGAAACACCAAAAATACAATCTTGAGGAAAGCTGAGTGAAAGAACTTTGGGAAGAATATTATGCAGAAAAGCTTCCAATAAATACTGATCATGTGTCTTGCTGTTTAGCTCCTTTACATTTAAATATATATGACTTAAAAAAAACCTGACTCTTACATAAAATTCTTTCTATACTCAAACAAAATCCTTAAAATCTCATATAATTGTTAACAGCTCAAAGTGAACTACTGCTTGGAAATGAAATGGAATCTTGTTGAGTCTACACTGAATGTGGTCTGTTCAGATAACAAACATGGCCATAAGAAGTCCAGAAAAGATACATAACAGAAACAAATTAAAAAATAATCCGGAAACTTCTGAGACACATTTGAGATGAACTTGAGAATCATAATATGAGAGCACACAAACTAATGAGAAGACAGATTGTCCCAGACTAGAAAGTTTCATTATATGAAGAGGCCCAGGCACAGATTTCACCAGCTTGGAATGTCTGAATAATTATGTAATGTGGGCATAACAGAGCTGAGTTATCACCTTTAAACCCAATTCAAAAGTCTTGCAGTGAAGCTGCCTATATTTGAAATTGACTTTGTCAGAGAACAGAGTTATGATAAAATATTTAAAATGAGTCAGAGTATCCAGGCTGAAACAACATGGAACTCATTGACCTTGGAAGAAAGATATCCTTTTCCAAATAAGAGTTTTGCTCTTGAATATATTATGGCATATGTGTGTAGCTATGATATTTTATTAAAAATCCTTTCCTAGGATTTTTTCCCTCCTGAGATCTGAAGGCCTCAGGAAAGAAATGTAAACAATAACTATCTGCTGCTGTGGAATGCAACAGGTGCATCTTCCATTGCTCCATGTAGATTGTTTTCCATTGATGACCAATCACAGCCACCTGTGCCAAGGCTGTGAGCAGTCACAGGATTTTGTTATGCTTTCTATTCTATTCTTGTTCTATGTAGCCTTCTGATCTTTCTTTTCTCTCTGTTCTTTTAGTATAGTTTTAATGTAGTATTTTAGTATAATATATAACATAATAAATCAGCCTTCATGAGAAAATGGAGTCAAGCCTTGCGTCTCCACACATGGCGTGTTCGCCTCAACATATGTGAACTGCCTGGGAAGACTCAATTCAGATAAGACAGGTATTGGAATGCTTATGCTAAAAAGGCTGGGAAATACAGGATCCAACAATTCACTAAATTGGTCCAAAATGGAACAGAGTGGCCAAAATGAGAAAATTTACTTTGAATCTTAGATATTTAATGACAGTAGGATATTAAAGGCAAATTATTGTCTGGATGTTATCATGACTGGAAACTAAACTGAAAGACAAAAATCCTTCCATTTAAGGCCAGATACTTGCTTTAAAAGTTCCAAGTTGCTCTGTTCACATGTTGTGCATGTCAAAAAAAAAAAAAAAAAAAAAAAAAAAAAGATGCATTTTTGTGAGTTCTGGGGTAGAATCCATCTTAGTTTAGATTTCTGAAAGTTAGACATACAAGCCTGAGATATTCTGCATCAGAAAAATCTTCCTGTAAATGCTTAGTCATTTCAGCTATCTTAAATTCTTGTCATACACTAAGATGAATTGTATTCTGGGGGTGTCCATTTCTTTCTGTTGATTCTAAAGGGAGTCTGGGATAGCTCAGATGTAGCTTTTACGTTTCTAAGTGGGGAAATTAGTTGCAAAGTTCTTAGAGCAAGAAACAATCCTTGTTCTTTTGCTGAGAGATTTCCATCACTTTCTAAGTGAGAATAACTACTAGACATTAATATAAAAAAAAAAGAAAAAAAAGAAAAAGAAGGATCAAAGTAATGCAGATGAACCTCAGAAGATTTTGCTGTTTAGTTATGACAAAATGCTTCATGTTTGAACGAATACAACAGTGTGTAGGAGTTTCAGGTTACATACTAGGAATTATTTCCCTAATACAAGAAAAATATAGGTTTTACTGCATTCAACAGGCACACAATCAATTCACAGGGAATACTGCTCATTAAACAGAAGAGAAATTCGTTCTGAATAGCCTACCATTCTGACAGCTAGAAAAAGCCACCCTTACTATTTCTATCAAGATTAGGAAGGAAGAAATCTTGGGTGGGATTTTAAGAATACATCTGTAGAAAAAGATACAATGCTATTGGTAAATGGTAACACACAATTTGTGCAAAACTAAATTGTAACTCATAAGATTCTACAGTTTAGAAGGTGGTGCAACTTCCAAGTGAGAATAAAAACTGAAAGAAGGGACTTAAAGGAGATAAGGCAAAGATTAATATTGTCACAGAAGGTCTATATTTTAGATATGAGTTTGTGTAGCTCAGAGCTGGGGACATTAGAGCCATTCCTTTGCAGAAAATACAGCACTGTTATTCAGGAAAGAAAAGCCATAAGGAGATGTGGCAAAAGCTAGAGGAGCAGCGTGGGACAGTCCTATTGTCTAGCATAGGTGCTAGGAATTGTTCTGACAGGCAGACTTCTGTTTATCACATCAAGGAGGCTTCTTACAACAGGCATTTAACAGTTTTATTCTTCAATTAAGGTGAATGAGGTGGATAGTCCATGAAAAAATATGGTTTGGTCAAAGGAGAGGAATGGGGACTGGAAAATAAAATGCAAACAGCATCACTGCTGGAACCTTTAGAAAAAAGGAATAGGATGATTGAGAGAATGAAATGTTTGGAGACGTAGATTGGGAAACTGATGTATATTCGTAAGAGGTAGAATTCCAAGGTTCTACCAAGTTTATCTTGCATAATATAGAAGAAGAAGCAATCAAGAAACCCAAAGAAAGGTTAAGTGGTCTGAGTGGTAACTAAAAAGGAGAATTTGGGGAAGAAATATAACCAGGTTTAAAGAGAAAAGCTTGTAGGTTAGAAAATGTCAGGTTTTTAAAAAAAAAACAAAAGAGAAAACAGGGTGCATTTGCCCACGGAAAGGACTTGTTGGGTAATTAAACACTCCAAAATAAAAATCTTTACGGAAAATTGACTGGACTTTCAATTTCAGAAGGTTCAATTTCAGTGAAGATATTAGCAACATGTAACATAAACCCAAGCATCTTTAGCATGGGATAAAGAAATAATTAAGAAGTGAAAAATATTGCACTAAATGTTATAAAGAAAAAAGAGCTTTATTTTTGAGAATAGTTCTGCACTGCTAAAAGATACCTTACTACTTATGCATAAAATGTCACACTCCTTTTCATTGTGTGATGTTTATCTTCTCAACAATCATGCTAAGATGATATTTTTCTGTAATTTGTGTAAATTATAAACCAGCTTTTATTTTTACCTACTTTCCCAAATGATTAGAAGTGTTAATTACAAAACAGCCGAAGCATTCACCGCCTATTTACAGAATTGTTTTCCATATCCGTTTTCAATTGTAAAAGAAAAGATAAATTAAAGACAACATAACATTAAAAATAAGTAATACATTTATTAATTTGATGGGCTCAGGTGCACTCTCACTTCTAAATGAAAATAATGATACCCAATTTATGCAATCTGACATCACTATATACTAAGCATGGTGACTGGAAATTCTGAATTATTACACTACATCTCTGGTAGAGGAATCCAGTGAAGGGAACAGAAAAGTAGCAGGAAAAACAATGCAGAATTGTGTACCTTAGTTGTTAAAATCTGAGAAACAGAATCAACTCAATTTTGCTACAAATTCATATGCATGATTGAAGTAGAAAATACTGAAGAAACAAAAAGACAGGTGCAGAGCAAACACAGCCAAACTGCATCATAAAACCATAGAATGGTTTGAGTTCAAAGGGACCTTTAAAAGACCATCTAGTCCAACTACCCTGCCATAAACAGGGACACCTTGCATTAGACCAGCTTGCTTTAAGCCCCATCTAGTCTGGCCTTGAACACTTCCAGGAATGGGGCATCCACAACTCCTCTGGGCAACCCGTTCCAATGTCTCATCACCCTCACTGAAAAAAATAATAAATTGTTCCTCAGATACAGTCTAAACCTGCACTCATTCAGTTTCAAACCCTTGGCCTTTCTCTCAGCCTGTCTTCACCAGAGAGATGGTCCAGACCCCTCTGATCTTCTTCATGGCCTCCTCTTGACTTGCTCCAACAGGTCCAAATCTTTCTTGTACTGAGGACCCCAGAGCTGGACACAGCATTGCAAGTGGGGCCTCACCAGAGCAGAAAAGGGGGAGAACAACTTCCCTCAATCTGTTGGCCACATTTCTTTTTATGCAGCCCAGGATACAACTGGCCTCCTGGGCTGCCTGAACACTCTGAAATAAATAAAGCCAGAACAAATTCCCAACATCATTAATGCGGGTTACTCCAGTTTTGATACAAACGAAATCTATACCTTATGGAAAGCTATCAGGCCACTTTAAGAGTTGAGTAAATCAGTGAAACTAAAACCAGAAAAAGATCTAGGAAAGACATGATAAGCACAGTATAAATCTTAAAATCCCTAGTGTGCATCAGACTCATATTAGCATGAATCCAATTACCTATTTTATTCATTCACCAAGGCTCTAGTTTATTAGTCTGAAGTTAGGAAATGAAGTATCTGTCTTCATAACAGATGTCACATCCACATCAAAAATCCATCCAAAGTTTCGACACGACAGTACATAAATTATAATGGAGCCTGCTAGGAAGCTGTAGTCATCATCATTTGTATGACATGATTCTTCTTTCCCAAATCCATGATGGCACATCTAAATAATTTGGCATGTGTAAGTTTTTTATACTGCAATCACAAAATAATGAAACCGACGTTTTTCTTACTTGAGATTTCAGTACTTGAAGCTGAGTTTCATAACTCTGAGCCATTTCATTTTTAGTTTTCTGTAAGTTTTCCAATTGTTTTTGAAGTAGTCCCACCTAAAGTTAAAATAAGCATTGAAATGTACCTTTTCTGACATTTTTCAAAATATGTAATTTGTGGGAAAGTAATTTGAAACTTTGAAAGAAGATCACTGCTTTAAGAAGAGGTATTAAAAATAAGTATTAAATCAGTAGCTTGATAATAGAACTGCATACTACAGACCTAGATTGTATCAACATCAAATTGGTGATTTTATAGTAAAAAATCTCATTACACGCTGATGTTATAATTTAGTCATAATATTGTACAAGTCTGTCATGAAAGACCATTCCTGAAAGCTTCTTAAACCCAACTATGCTGTTCCCCATTGTGAAAATTTTCCTTGCATGGCTCATAAAATGATACAAATTACCTTCCAGTATTTATGTACAAATTACCAGAAGACACTGTGGACTCATTTCAGCTCCCTAAGTGCAGTGCCATTTGTGATATCATAAATTATTACTGAGTTTCACAGAGACATGAGAAATATGACAGAGAGCATACATTGCACCCGTGCTTTTCTGGAGGGGCAGTTGGAAGCTTGGTAAAATATGCTGAAGTATTTCAGATAATGTCTCTGTACAGCAAATAAATTGATGCTTTCAGGATGGGCTACTTGAATTCTTCTCTTGGTTCCTCTGACTGCAGGGACTAAGGGCAAGTTCCTAATTGCTCATTAGGGAGAGTCACTCCATTTTCAAAACTCCCACGGGCAATTTAGCCACCTAGCTCACACAAGGATGCCCTCGTGCTAAATTCAGCTAGCTTGAACTAGAACTGAATGCTATGCAAGGATGTCGTGATGCTTCTGAATAATTATTCAGAAGAAAAGTATGTGAAATACAGGCAACATCAGGCACACTGGGGCTTTAAGTTTCATACGAAAGTTGAAGTAGTAATACATTTCAAGTCTTCACAATGAGTAAAATTATCATACAAAGACAGTATATAATGTAAAATGTTAAAAATCAGGAATAAACAGGAGTAACAAAGACATGATTTTGGAAACGTTTTTGAACTGCGTTCTTCCGTTTAAAATTTCTGATGAAATGAGAAGTGCTGGCATTTAGAAAAAAACATCAAACTATCTTTTTACAGCTAACCCAAGAATATTTGATGTAGACTTTAGGGAAATAGAAGAAATATGAGATTTTCAATGACATTTTTACAATCACTTTTCAGAGCAGAAGCACACTTTAAAACAAAACACTAAGGATAATTAGTGACCTTTAAGGGGTGTTTGGTATTTTTACGTGATAGAACAAATGGTCTTATGGAGAATTTAAAGCATACTAATAAGAAACTACAAGAATAAATACTTTCTTTATAGAATGTGATATTCTTAAATACCTCTTGACCTTTTTGATCCAGTTTGCTTTGGGCACTTGCTAATTCTTGATCCTGGATATCCATCTTTGCTTCCAAAGCTCTCATCTTTCTTTCCCATTCTACTTGCTTTCTGTTTACTATGATGTCAATTTGATGCACTAATTCCTGAAGTTCAACTTCACATGGAGAAGCTCTAAAAATATAAAGAGATTTATTTTTTCAAATAAAGAATAAGAGAGAAAACAAATTTTTATTTACATTGCTACAATTCTGTTTTAATTGTGACCAAACTAACCACTTTTCAACAACAAAAAGAAAGAAATGGGAAAGTTAAATGATGCCTTCAAATGTAGGTGGAACCTCACTTCATCAGTCTTGAGTTTGCCTGCATGCTCAACTTTTGACTGCACTAAACTGAAAAAACAGCTCCTTAATGTGGATATGGGTTTATCACAAATCTTTTATTTGGTGCTTAAATTGTGCACATCTCTTGTTTTGATAATTATTACTGGAAATCGGGGCAAATTTGTTTGATTTATAACATCATAACTAAAACTTAGCATGATTTTTTGAAGTTAAATTCTTTAAAACTTCTTTTGCATCCACAAATCCTTGAAACTGTAACAGTATCAGTGTTAAGCTTGGAAGGGCTTTTTAAATGCACACATAAATCTTAATGACTTTTTAATGTTAAAACTGTTGGTAATGCTGTTTTGAAATTTAATATGAATCATAGGATGACGATAACCAAAGTCCAAGCAAGTGATGTATATCTCTCAAAACAAAAATACCCCTCTCCTAAGTGCCTGGAACCCATCTCAAAAGTAGCATTAATGATGGGTAAACTCTGAGTGCCTCTGGGTGGAATATAGAATGCGATTTTGAAAACAGAAGATAAACTGATACTGCTTTAAAGACCTGTGCACTTCCAGCCTCCTCTAATGTCACATGGCAACACTTTGGTGAACCACCAGCAATGACTCAGCTGTATTATTTCAGCCTTCAGAAACAGGTGCTTGCCTTATTGTGTGTCACATCGATAATCTAAATATTGTTATGCAACTAAGAATGCAACTTCTAGCCTAGATCATCACATTACCCTTTCAATACACCATGGCTGACACCTTTCACTCTTAAATTTCACCTGCCTCTTTCAGATCTTCCTGCACATGGCAAATTCCGCATTTGTTGCTAAAAAAAAAATTCTCTTAACTGTTCTTGCATGCTTCTTGAATCTAGAGCAATCATTATATAAAAGGGAGCTGCTGAAAGAAAAATTCCTTCTGAAAGAGCTTCTCCACTTTCTCTAATTCCTTACCTGGATCCTCTAAGCACACTTTGAGCTGCAAAAGGAAATCTGTATGTGAAGTTGTAGATTACTGCTGCTGTTCTACTACCACAACTAATCTGTACCAAGGCTCTGGTATTGAAGACAGATCTGTAGTCATCCCCACCCATTAGCAGAGAGGTGCTACTTGCTGCAGTAACTATTGCTTTAGGCCACTAGTGTTTTGGAAAGAGTGCTGAATATGGCCAATTATTTGGCACCACAGTCACGAGAATTTATTTTCATCACTGGATGTGGAATCAATGGTTTCTTTTGTTTAGTAAGACATGTAACACACAATGTAACACACATGTAACACACAATGTAACACATGTAACACATGTGTAACACATGTAACACACAAATAACAAATCTTCATAAGCAAAGAAGTATGCACTGGCTTTTTAACCCATGTGGATTCAGCATTCCCAATTTGCTGAATGCATACATCAAATGGATTCGTCATACAGGGGAGTAATGACTTGTACTTCAGCAAGTGGCAGCTACTTTTTTTTTGGTTCATTTACTTTGAAACAGTTCAAAACACTTAAAGTTATCTCATTTTAAAGTGGTGTAGGCAAGCTCTTCGTCTTCTTTTATTCTGTCTCCATATAAGTGAAAATAGAGATGAGTCATATTCTACTGTCATTAATAACTATTTATCTTCATGTAAAACAAAATGTTTCCAAATTTAGGCAAAAATCCAGATAAAAAGATTTACCACCTGCCGCTTTGCTTTCCCCGGCTAGCTGATGTTGAGAGTGAGGGGCGGCAGTTTTCCCCCTGGAGCTCCTTGAATTCCAGTTGTCAGTTGTTTCGGCGCAGAATAAAACACAGGCAGCGCACAGGGGTCCCAGGGAAACTTTATTTGATGGTGTTTCTTCCCCTCTTTCTTCCTGGGCCCCCACTAAGGGGCCGACAAAGACTTATATCTCAGGGGAAAGGCAGGGGCAGACCCAACTTCCAACAAATCAGGAGAGCTGGGAGTAAAAACCCAGGCGGGGAATAACAGGAGCGAACCAATAAACTTCCAAGGAAGAAAAACAGTTTTAGGAAATGGGTAAAATTTGGAAAATAGAAGCTAGAAACTAGCTGACGACATTTCTGGGAAAAGGGTGGAGACAAAAGAAAAAACCAGCACCAAAGAAAAACACTAAATCACAAATCAAACCATAGACCCACTGATAAAACAAAAAGCACGATACAAGAACCACCTCCAGGCCTTTTTCTTTATCACAAAGGATTTTTGCACTGGTTAGACCTTTCTAGCTCCATTTATCCATCTTTTGCTTTGGAGTTCTGCACAGGTCTGATTGTTTCCAGACATAAAAATGAATGGTAGAAAGAATGGTATTGTCCATACACTCTAGAATAAAGTTATTTGAAAACAGATGATTTAAGAAATGTTTGGTTCATACTGTGTCTTGAATTTATACTTTCTTCCCATATTATTTACATTTGTTCACAAATAGGAAAATAAGTATGACCATATTTATGCAAACAAAAGTAAAACTATTCAACCTTACATAGTATATTCATTAGGTTTGGATATTTACCAAAGCTTCTACAGTCAATATTAATTAATTTAATTATTGCAAACATTGCTCTAAAAATAGGAAATATACAAACGAGTTGTAATAGAATCTTTTACCCCAAAGTTTTATTATAAGAACTACAACCAACTTATTTAACAACTTTCAGCCATACTGAATCATTCACACCTATGGACAGACAATTTGTGATTTATGAGTCCTTGCAGCTGGAATGTAATTGTCATGATTTTCACCACCATTACTCAGCCATTTTCCCAAGTTTAAAGGCACTCTATTATCCCTGGAATATGTCAGCATAGACTGAAATAGTTGCCTTTCAGTGAAGATGTATCCTAAACTACTCTTCCAGAATCTTTGTATAGTTAATGGAACTAACTAGCTAGCAAGAATTATGGCTTATGATGGGACGAATTCTACTAGATGCATCTGCAAATAGCCTGAAATTTCATATATTGATTAAAATAAAGGCAAGGCAGAATCCTGAATTTTTGAAATAGGCTTCTGACTTGTAGCCAAAGAATAGCAATACTTTTGGGATTTTATAATTCAAGTTTTTATATGGCTACCTTTACAAATTATGTAACTATGATATGAAAAAAGAATTCCCTCAAAGCACACTTTTAAATCCATAAAAAACTTTTTGGGCCAGAATAAGGTATGATAGATCATGCCTCTTTTATTTTAAGAAATACTTTTACACTTAATATGCGTCATATTGCATTGTGCTGTTTCTTGGTAATCATGGCACAATAAACTGGTTTATTTGAAAAGTAGTTAGTAAGTTTACTTACAAAATTATGATGGATAAATATTCTGTTTTAAGTCATTAAGTGGGGAAGTACTTCTTATATTTGTATGTTCCTTGAAGATGCTGAATGGGATGAGGTGCTACATAACTCTTACTCATGTTCTCATTTCTTTAGAAAGACTTTGCTAACATATTTTTTAGATTAACTACATACTAACATATTTTTTAGATTAACACTAAAAGAACTAAACTTGGACTATGTAAAAATAAAAAATGATTATGTGTTCTTATGAAAAGTGCATTTAATACTTGGGGACAACAGTTGTAGTTATTATCTGTGCAAAATAAGGCTAGGACTTTAGCAATGAATCTTGTTTTCAAGATTCTTACTGTTTTAAGAGCTGTGATATGTAAGTTTATAGTGCTGTAGCCTAGCAACTTCAAGTACTTTAAAAAAAAGTTTGAAAAAACGTTTCTTAACATCTTAATAAAACCCTACATAACTTTCATTTTCCCTCCACCTCTGTTTCAGGTATGAATATTTAAACATTAAAATAACTAACAGAAACAGTTAGTAGAGCACTAGCCAAAGCAATATCTTGTCTTAATTATCAGCAACTTCTCCAGTTTGCATGGAAAGCAGAAGAAATACAGAATCAAGTTTGCCTCCAAAATAATTAATATTTTGTGTTTCACATTTCTAATAACATACATTATTCAATTCCATCATATATTCAACTTCCAAGAGAGTAAGTCATTACGTACTTAGTCACAGCTTGTTCCTGGAACATTTCTAAGTCCTCCTCCATAATACTGATTGTCGTTTTAACCTGTTAAAACACCAAAAATCAAATAATTCAGATTCTTAAATGCATTCATTTGTACAGCCAAGTAGTGCAAACTGGATAGTTCTGTGCTTTCCTTTCATATTACGCAATTTTCTCATTAAAAACAAGAAGGACAGGAGAGTGCAGCTCTAATTACAGGCTGGAATGGGTGAGACAAAAACTTCCAGAGTAAGCTCAGCTCTCTGACAGCAATTCTCACACTTTGGTATCTCTGAGATACCAGAGGTGGTGCTGAGCTTGAACCTAGCCCTGGGTCTCCATACCGAAATCTGTTTTGGATCATTCCGTGTTGTGTGACTTCAATGACTTGCAAAGACACTCTGAAGGACATGAATCTTAATTTGCCATAGATCCATGGCTGCACTCATCAAACACCTGCACCCTTGCACACCGTGATGAACCTCTACCCTGGCTGTAACTGCGCTCAAACACGATTTCGGACTCCTATTGCCTGGCCACTGCCTTGCCCGGCAGATGCAGTCTGAGACACGCAGCCCTCAAATACCTCGGCAGGACGACCAGAACAATGCTATTGCGGAGACCAGCCCGGTTCCGTGGGTCCAGCAGGGCACAAGGATGCGGGGGCATGCCTGCCTGCATGCCAGAACATTATGGGTGACGGGGGAGCGTGAAACAGCCCTAATTCCAAATTCCTGGCGGGAGAGAGCAGTGGGGCTCTCAGGGGCACGGGTACCAGTACCCACAGTCGTGCGGGCAATGACACATGGCACTGCAGCCTTGGCTGCACAGGGAGCAGGCACTTGAGGGGACCAGCCATAGGAGACCGACACCTGAGGTGACACCAGCACAGGGACCGCCTTGGCTGTGCCGGGCACCTGAGGAAACCGGGGTACGGACAGCACCCCCCGGGCTTCCGCGGCCGCGCCCTCCCCTCCCGTTACCTGCCGTGCTCCCCGCTCCGCTCCTGCCGCCCCCGCTGCCGCTGTGGCCGCGGTACGAGCCCCGCAGCCCGGCCAGCCCCGGAGCCCGGCCCGCCGCAGCTCCCGCCCGTCGCCGCGGTAACGCGGAGGGCGGCGGGCGAGGCGGGAAGGCGGCCGGGACCGGGCCGGGGCAGGGCCGGGGCAGGGACGGGCACCGGTCCCGACTGCGTGGCCGTGCCGCGGTTACTCCCTGCGTCCCTCCTTCGATCCGAAGGAATCTGGAGTGACTTTCACCACAGGAAAATTTCACCCGGGGTGAAGAATATGTACTTCTCCATTAACATAATTTCAGAAATCAGTAGGCAAGGTGCTTTTAAAAACTTTTTTTTCTGATTTTTTTTTACCCCCTTTCCCTTAAAACTCTGTTATTACTAGATATGAAAAGGGTGAACTTTCCTTTCCTCCTTCAATGACTAGCTATGCTTTTGTCAGAGGGCATCAAACGATTTCCAGATTATTTTGCAAGTGACCTTGGCCTGATGCCTTTCCATTCTTGTGGCCTTCAGTCTGTCTTACTGAATGTTATGTTTGCCCAATTATTCAATCACAAATAAAAGGCCAAACAAAATTAAATGTAACAATAATTTTAATGAAATTTAAATGAAATAGTTTAAAATATATAAAATTGAATACATTCAATAAATGGGCAGTATAATTTGGTTACAATAAAATATAGTCTGGTTCGGGTAATGACGTATAAGCAAAATTACCGTGAGGTAGGGAGCTTACTGTTTCAATTTTATCAGCACGAATCACACTTATTTATCACACTGAACAACAAAATGCTTTTAGGAATCACAGCTATTTCAGCTCTTTGCAGTAATAATTTGAGGGACTTCGCATTTCTTCAAACGCCAGTGAGGTTTTCTACCAGGATGGTACCATTCACTTGGTATCTATTGTCCTGAAATTTCATGGAGCAGTATCAAGACCTGCTAGTCTATTTCCATGCAATACATGTCCAGCTTTGGCTTTGTTCTTCTTAATATGTTTACTGCAATTGACCAAGTGAACAGAAGCTTTAGTACCAGTTCTAGGGAATAATCTATCTCATTGGGTTCCTACATACTGTGCTGTGGCAGATGGTTTTTGTGTCAGCAGAAATGCTGTTTCAAGCTGTGAAAAATGGTTTTAATTTTTTTTTTTTTAATAGGAGACTAAAATAAAATTATTTGCAGAGTTTCAGGAAAGTCACAGAATGACAGAATTATTAGGACTGGAATGGACCTCTGGAGATCATCTCTCTGGAGACCATTTTGTCCAACTCTCTGGCCAAGTGAGGGTCACCTAGCACAGGTGTCAGGAACTCCCTGATGAGGTTTGCCTATTCATTCTAAAACATAAGAGTTTTCCCTTGTAGCCAGGCCGGTCAGGATGACAGGAGAAAGCTGTGGGACCAGTTGTGCACTCTGAGCCCTGAAAATGTTTTCTTCATTACACTTTTAATATATCATTACACTTTTCTTCATTATTTACTTACTGTAATAGAGTTAATGTTTCAAAAAAATTTCATATAATTGAAATAGTTTTGAGGTTTTTTTCTAAATAATAAAACTTGGGTTTATTTATTTTAAATACTTTGAGCTTTGAGATGATCTGAAGTATTATATACTAGATGTAACTTCTAATGCAACTGCCAGCAAATTTCCATTTTTTCATCTGCTCAGTTGAAATGAACTTTTCAGCCATATTCCCAGTGTATATACTTTAATTTCCTCCCTGTCTTACCCTCTCTAAGTGGTAATCAGTTATTCAGAAATTTAACTTCCATCTGTCATGGCTAAATGGAATTGGGAGGGGAGCAACTTAAAAAAATACAGAAAAATAATTTTAAAATTACTTTTCTACATTTTCAAAGCTTTTTAGAAGGACAATTCCATGCCACTAGCTGGAGTTGTGTTTCTAACTCTCTTAGGTATATCCAAATACCTCCCCCACTATATTAAAAAAGTCCCATATCAAATTTCTGTCCTTTTTTATTTGCTTTTGCTCATTCACATCATCTCTTGACTAGAGCTTGTCTTATGAGACTCAAAACTGTTATTTGTTGACTTTAAAGAACATGCCTTACAAATTGTGACAGCCAGCCAGCCAAAAAAAAAAGCTAATCTAAATCAGCTTTTAGATTAAAATTCATGGAAAACTATAAGTGCATTTCTGCAGGAAAAGAAGAAAGTAGATTTGGGCAGGTACGCAATGGAGTGTGAACAAATGCAAAACAAGACAAGGTGCAACACAGATCTATTTACAAAAACGAGGGGAACTAGGCATTACCTAGGGAGCTGCCTTGCAGAGGGATCTCAGATTGGGCAATGAGTAATGGGATGGAATTTGACAAGTCAAAATGCTGGATGCTGTACCTAGCAGGTGAGAGTTTCTAAAAATAAAGCAATAATATACAATTCAATATAGAATATTTTCAGAGCAGAATAAAAGTGGTGGCTTTATAATTTAGATATAATTTCCGTGATAAATTATTATATAACTACTAGTTATCCTTCCTAGGTCTTTGTCATTTGAATTCTTCAATATGTGTTGGGTTTGTAGTGCAATATGTAATAGCAGGTAAAACCTAAGTGCATTTGTGTATTTAACTTTAAATACAGATTGTATTTACAGGATATATTCACAACTTACTTTGCACTCTCAGATGACAGGTTTGATTGAACATTTTGTTCCAGTAAACTCAGTATAATTCTCATAAGAAACAGACTCATTTCTTTAGCATAGAAACCACATGATTTTAGTGATATTTATGTGATGGATTCATAGCAGCTCTATAAAAATTTATTAATTGCATTCTGCATGTTAGTTTGAGTGCATATGGACACCCCAACTTAATTTACAGAAAAGAAAAGGAATAGCTGTGTATAAGCCATCCATCAACAACTATGCAGGAGTCACTGAGAGACAATAAAATCTATGAAAAAGATCCTTAAGACGTAAGCAATAACAAGAATGACATTTAAAAAAGAATCTTTGCAAGAGAGATTTCTACTTGTGAAAATGAGACAGGCATAAAATGTGCCTGAAGATTTTGAAAGTGCCTAATTTACTGGCAGGAGCTGCTAAATCCTGACATAATACAGACATAGATGAAGGGTACTGTTTCTAAATATTTTGTTTCTAGTTTAAACTGAAAAATACTCTTTTCTTAAGCTGCTTATGAAATCACTGAAGGAAAGAACAGAAAGAGTTTGGATTTAGTAGGATTTGCCAGGTAAACCAATTGATATGTCACACTGTAGGCTGAAACCTTGGAGTGGAGAATTTTAAGAATTTATCCTGCAAGAAGAAACCTGAAAATTAAGGGTAGTGCTCTGGGAGAATGCAGACAGGAGATAAAGGTGCCATTAGGACTGTTTTTTTGACACTTACAAATTAGTCTTTCTGTGTCAGTCTCTAAGGATGAAAAAAATAATGGTAGAATCGTGTAGTCTGGAAAACACCCTTTAAGATCATGGAGTCCAGCCTCTAGCCCAGCACTGCCAAGTCCATCACTAAACCATGGCCCCAAGCACCACTTCTACACATTTCATACATACCTCCAGGGATGGTGACCCCACCACTTCCCTGGGCATCCTGTTCCAGTGCTTCACAAGCCTTTCAGTGAGGAAATTTTTCCTAATGTAGGATGTAAACCTCACCTGGTGCAACTTTGAGGTAATTTCCTCCTGTCCTACCCTTTGTTATTTGGGCAAAGAGGCTGAACCCTACCTGGCTACACTCAGATGGTTGCAGAGAGCAATAAAGTCCCGCCGGATCCTCCTTTTCTCCAGGCTAAACACCCTCAGGTCCCTCAGCTGTTCCTCACCAGACTTGTGCTCCAGACCCTTGCTCTGGACATGCTCCAGCTCCTCAATGTCCTTCTTGCAGTGTGGGGCCCAGAACTGAACACAGCACTCGAGGTGTGGCCTCATCAGTGCCCATTACAGGGGGATGGTCACTATCCAGGTCCTGCTGGCCACACCAGTGCTGATCCAGGCCAGGAAGCCACTGGCCTTGGCTACCTGGGCACTCTGCTGGCTCATGTTCACCCACTCATTGACCAGCACCCCCAGGTCCTTTTCCACTGGACAGCTTCCCAGCCATTCTGACCCTAGTCTGGAGCATTGCATGAGGTTGTTTTGACCTAAGATCTTTGTTGAATTTTATCTGTATAGTGCTAGATATTTTCCACACAAAATAACAGTTACTTGTTTAATACTTGCTGCTAATATTTTTCTGGAAGCTCATCATAGTGTTTAGCATTACTTCAGCAACTTTCAGTATGGCATAGTCTTTCCTTTGTAGTTATTCCTACTGAAGCATAAAAATATAAAAATATTTTATGGTTTGGCAGCATGTGGATGGTTTCTAGCTCTATAGACAAAAATACTTCTTGGTTAACTTGTTTTTACTTATCAAATGTTCTCTGTGATCTTGTCTGCAGTTAAAAAAAAAGACTGTTAAACTTGAGACTGTACATTTAATCTGTGGCTTTATATCCTGACACAGTTGCCTCAGCTTCTAAATTGTGCCACAGTGACATAAGAATTTATTAAAAATTATTCTGGCTAAGATAGGCAAGTTATCAAAAAAAAAAAAAATAAACACTCTAGAAGCATAAATTTGACTTCGTACTGTCTGAGGGGATTACAGGAAAAA